TCCTCCACGCCATCGCGGCCTCCTCCACGCCATCGTGGCCTCCTCCACGCAATCGCGGCCTCCTCCACGCCATCGCGGCCTCCTCCATGCCATCGCGGCTTCCTCCACGCCATCACGGCCTCCTCCACGCCATCGCGGCCTCCTCCACGCCATCGCGGCCTCCTCCATGCCATCGCGGCCTCCTCCCCGCCATCGTGGCCTCCTCTCTCTTCGTGGTCAATTTAAACGTTGATTCTAGTGTTGAGTCTATGGGCAGTGTTTAATCTACGGGCAGTATGTGTGTAAGCATGTTGAACTTCTTTCGCAGCGTACGTGGTCAGCCGTGCTAATCGAAGGTGCGGGGTGAAGGACAACAAATGAAACGCAAAAAGCAGTTATCGAGAAATTAGTTTTCAATCTAGATGTAAAGTGCATAGCGTCCAGCGGCTTCCTGATATCGGAAGGAAGAGCATTCCAGATGACCGCAGAAGCACATCTGAAAGCGCGCAATGCAGTGACCGTCTTTGCTCGATGGCTAACCACAAAAGCCGCTGTGAGGATGAAGCTGAGATCTGTTCAGCGATTGAATCTGCGGAGGGCTGCGTGTACCGTGCGTGCGTCAATCCACTGCCGACAAGTTAAGCCCTCGTTGTCAACACTGGTCGTGAGAGTTATTTGACCGGCCTCTGCAATGCGAGTGAGTGCGGTTTTAGTGACGGCCCGGCAGCATAGACATAGTGGCGCAGAAGTACAGTACAACAATGTACGTTTGAAGTTTGCACCTTCTCCCCATGGTCACGTGGATTTTTATCAGAGTCCTCCAGTTTTTTTCCCTCCACATTTAGAATCAACGTGCGTCGAGGGTGTTTGGCTGCCATAAATTTCCACACGATAAGCCGCTTCGTTGAGCTATCGTTCGTGGCCAGGTCTCACGCATTTAATTGGGCCTTACCTGGTAAAAGAAAACAACTTTTTAGTTTTAGCAGTATATGCTTTCCACACTTTACTGCTGCCCAGCACGTAGCACCTGTGCAGGCGACCTGCACGGTCATCGGTGGCCGCGCGTCCACGGAACTCTCTGCAGGCTCGGCCCTGGCTCTTAGCTTCTTGGACCCCACGGGACCCGGGCGCGTTTCGGGTCGACGTCGGTGACAACGCCGACTGGCGCTCCTGGGAGGGCGAAGTGCCCTCAACGCCGCCGTGGCAACCGAGCGGCAGCTCACGATACCCCTCGCTGCTGCTGCCGCCGCCTCCCAAAATATCGCATCGCGTGCGCTAAAAGTATATACGTATAAATATAAAAAAACGTACATTTAGAATACTCCACGCACTTGGCGCTTTATGCAAGAGGAGGAGAGAAGCTGGCGCTTTAGGAATGTGACCCCGCGATGCCCCTGTGCGCACGGACAACGACGATAATCTTCTTTGGTTCTTTCGGTAAAGTCACGTAGAATGAGAATAAAATAACAAATTAATAAAATAAAATAACACAATAATATTCTCACGACGATAATATCTGAATGTTAAGAAATAAGCACGCAACCAGAGACACGGCGTCACGGCCGTGACGTGTGTCCCGCGCCCGTGGGTTGACTCGTCGTTGAGGGGCACCAAAGCTGATCCGGAAAATATTTTCCAATGTGGCAAATATTTCGGTTCGGTATAAATGCACCAGACTCGTAAGGAGCAAAAGAAACAAACCAGGGGACAGCCGATGACAAATTCTCGCGAGCGGTGGGCGAAACGTTCATAGCCGGAGAGCCCGACTGCCCCCGTCTGCGGTGCGTTTTTGACACTCGACGAGGCTGCGTGGGAGGCCACACGCAAGGAACCGCTGGCTCCGCCACTGCAGCGTCACGCCTCGCCTCGCACTCTCACTTACGTAACGCGCCACCCCCCCCCCACCCCCCCCCCCCCACAGCATAATTTACCAAAAGCTAATTTGTTACCGGCGCCTGTGAGCCCAAATCGAGGGGCCCAGTTCATCCGAGGCAACGGCGTGTACTGTTACCGGCGAGCGCGCTCATTCAGGAATTTGGATTTCACGATGCATTGACGGTACACCTTACATATAAGGCGCAGAGGCGGACGTGTGGTAAGAATGGCCGGTCTCGGATCGTCTTTGAGAAAAAAGGAAGGGGAAACTGCGGGGGACACCAGGAGGGCGTCCTGCATTGGGATGTTCGGGCCAATTCCATAACTCGTGAGGGCATCTGGGACAAAAATTGACGAACCTAAAGAAGACGCCACACAGAGGGGGGGAGTGACGCTCAGCAACGACCATCGTCTGGACACTCAGCTCCCAGCTTGCCATGCCTACAACACACCCGGCAAGCCGTGGTGGTGGTCACCCATCCAAATACTATCCAGGCTCAAGCCTGCTTAGCTTCCGAGATCCAAAGAACTTGGGCGCATGCCGGATGAATGAGTTGACGAGCAAAGACGAGGTGGTTGAATTGAGTTGTTGGGGGGTGGGGGGAGGACCTGAAGCACCCGGGGTTCAGATTGGAAGCAGGGAAGGGAGGATCGTGAGGAATGGGGGGAGAGGTGGCAGAAGATGACAAACGTTAATCCAACAGCGGAAGAAAAAAGAAGTGTAGAGTCGTACAGTTTGCGTCAAACATTGTCATTGCTCGCAATCGCAAACGCCGCTTGGCTCCGCGCACGCTCGATTTTCACCGAACGTCGATGCCCCGCGGCGGTATTATTTATTTATTTCCCCCCCCCCCTCCCCTGCTTGCGAAAATAAAACGACGGAGCTCGCTTTTGGTTTACAGAGCAGGGGTAGAGAGGCCCGCAAAGTCCATCACTCGGGAGCGCAGAATTCGCGAGCAGTGAGGAGTAAACAAACCCAACGGCCGATGTAAAGCGCACGAGAGGACACGTGAGAGATCGGGGGCCGGCTGGTTGGCCGGTCGGTCGGTCGGTCGGCCGGTCGGTAGGCTGACGAGTGGGGAGGGAGGGAGCCCCCCAGCCCCCCCGGCTTTTGTTTTTCGTGCATTCCCAATGCATAGAAGAAAATGGAGCTCGAGGGGGTGGTGGGGGGGGGGGGACAAAGGTCGAACGGTTCAATCGATGCCCGGAGTGGCGGCAACGTCGGTATCACTTAGCCCAATCGCAGCTCCACTCGACGGGTCACAACGAGCAAGGGCGTTTGTGTTTTGTTTTTGTTAGGAAAGCGGCGTTACACACGCGCAAACAAAAAGAGAAAAACAGGACGCGACGCGTTCTCGCCCCCTCTCCGTTGGACCGTTTCGCGGCGGGTGCCGCGCCTTTCGTTCCCGACGATTGGCCCCCGCGGTGCGAGGGGGAGGGGGGAAACGGGGGCCCTGGTTTTCGTTGGGCGGCCCCCGCTGTCGGCTTGTCCGCCGTGCGGGGGTTGCTTCCGCGGTGCCGATGGTTTCAGCGCGCCGGACTCTCAACGGGGAGGGTCACCGCGGTTCCACAATTCTTGCGAGTTTCGGAAAATCACCGCCCCCCCCCCCCCCCACCCCTCCTCTATGCGCCCGGCGGTATGAATGTGTACACCACGGTCGGTCGGTCGGCGGGATCCGCGTGTGGTGGGGCAAAGTGTGGGTGTCCTCCCATCTCTTACGAGGCATTTGGCCAGTTGCGCAAGAGTGGGCCAAAATTCCCTTTTGAGGCTCTCTCTAGAGGTCCCCTCTAGCTAAAGGCGGCAAAGTTTTTGTAACATCGAGGTGGACATAAAAATATATTTTTTTAGGGCATTATGCAGCCAAACCGCCGTCGTTCGCTGGGTGCCTCTTTTGAACAAAAAGGAATTCTTTATCGCCCCCCCCCCCCCCCCACGGTTAAGATGCCAAAAAAAATGTAGGACAACGATACGGAGGAAGCTATAAAGATGCGTCGGTGCGTTCAAGAAAGCGACGCCGTGAGAAAAAAAGAGTTTTCGGAAGAAAAACATTTTAACATGCGAGAGTCTCTGGAGCGAAATGGGAAATTCGAAGCAGACGGGTGGGGGGGGGGGGGGTGGGGGAGTCAATAAAACTGCGCACTCCGGCCAGCTGACGGCGGAGGCGACTCTCGATCGATGCTCTTTAACGCCGCGTCGCGGGTCTCTGCTGCCCTTATTACGGAAAACGAACAGCGACGATAATTGTCGTGCGCGGGAAGAACCGCTCCGTTTGACGGAGGGTGGGGGAGGGGGGGGGCTTATGACCCCCCCACTTCCCCCAGGCAGCCCCCTCGTTCTCCTTCCTTGCCTTTTCACGTTTCATCTCCCGCTGTTCGATGTCACTTCTCTTTTTTTGGGGGGGGGGGGGGGGGGGGGGGCGGGGGTGGAGGGTAGATGACCGCTTTTGCCGCCTAACGATTATATCGGCTCGCGCACAGGTGCCCCGTGAATCGGCTCTTCGCGACGAGACAATGAGGGACGATGATGGCTTGGCGGGGGTTCGGGCGGCTTTCGTTCTAGCAGTGGATTGATCATGGCTGATCACGATTACCTCTTTACTCGCATAACCCCCCCCCCCCCACTCCCTTCCCGAACCCCTGCAGAGTTACGGGCCACCGCCGCCACGCCATTTTAATTTTTAACGGCTCTTTGTCAACCCGACTACTCGATGAAGCCCTCCCGGCGCTGCGTCGGTCATGGGAGTTGCTCGACCATACTTCACCACACCAGGCAATGCAGTTTGTTGAAGGGGGGGGGGGGGGTGGGGGGCGAAGGCGGGGGCTGGACTGGTTTAGATGTTACCCGCCACTTACGTTAACTGCCGTTTACTCGTGACTGGGATGGGGAATGGAACTCGGGGCGTCGTGTGGCCTGCACCACGCTCACTCGACGCCGACGTTTCACGCGCCCCGCGGCACCAGATACCCGCGGTGCTCGACTGCGTCTCCCGGGAATCAAACTCGGGCCGCTGGGATCATCGCGCGGTACGCCGGTGGTTTAACGACCTACGCACGCACACCCGCGCACCACACCTGTACGCACGGCCGCTGTGAACCTGCCTCGTGCCTCCAACCTCCACCCCCGACCCTCGTGCTGTGTCCTGCAGTCGAGCAAAGCGAAGATCTCGGTGCCGTGCTCCTCCATCCTGGAGGTGCGCAAGACCAATCCCTTGGAGATGCCCGAGAAGGACAACACCTTCGTGCTCAAGGTGCGTCCCACGCATCCTCGTTTCACGACGTGGGGGCACGGGGGCCCGCGAGGAGATACACGGGGAGAGACACGGGGGGGGGGGTCAGTTATAGTGAGTGCAGTTACAGCAGCAACGTTAGCGCAGTTCCATTGCGGCTGCGATCCATTACAGATGACAATCACAATTCATTAGAGAGATGACACCAAAAACACAATTCATAACAGATGACACAAACACAATTAATTACAGACGGCACGGCGACAATCGCTTTTGACCCAGGCCTGCACCGAGACGGCAGGACCCGGCGCGCGTCTCGCCAACGCGGTGCCGGCGTTCATTACCGGTGAATGTCGCGCGTCTCGGACACGTCCCGGACACGTCCCGGACACGTCCCGGACACACGTCGCAGAGAAAAGCGGCTAGACACGGGGTAGAGGAGGCGCAGGGGGGGGGGCACGAGGGGTGGCAGCCAGAGAACGATTCGAGCGATGCACGAGGGGATGCGGTTGACAACGTTGTTTTACAGATCCTCATTTTCAGCAACAGCATTCCTAGCATTCGACGCCGTGCTCACTCGCTCGCCCGCTCACGCACTCACTCACTCACTCACCCACTCACTCACGCACCCACGCACTTGCTCGCCCGCCCGCTCACGCACCCACTCACTCGCTCGCCCGCTCACGCACCCACTCACTCACTCATGTATCCACCCACTCACTCACCCACGCACTCACTCACCCACTCACTCACGCACCCACCCACTCACACACCCACTCACTCACACACCCACTCACTCGCCTGCTCACGCACTCACTCACTCACGCACTCACTCACGCACTCACACACCCACTCACTCACCCACTCATTCACGCACCCACCCACTCACGCACTCACACACGCACCCACTCATGCACGCACCCACTCACTCACGCACCCACGCACTCACGCACCCACTCACGCACCCACGCACTCACGCACCCACTCACTCACGCACCCACGCACTCACGCACTCACCCACACACTCACTCACGCACCCACGCACTCACACACTCACTCACGCACTCAGGAACGAACGTACGCATGTACGTGCCGTGGACAAAAAAAACACATCGCATGGCGAGCTCAAACTTGGCAGTGCCACATCGGCCTTTCGCGGCGAAGCGGACCGCGCTAGCGTGAAATTTTTTGTTTGTTGTTAAGGAAAATAGGGGAGAGAAAATAAAGGAGAGGGAAGAAAAAAAAATATAATCCATTGTACATATGAACAGGAAAGTCGTTCTAGCTGATAAAACACTGCACATGAAAAAAAAAAGGACCTCTCAAATTCCCAGAAGGGTTCTATTTGCGCTGCCGAAAATACTCGGCAGTGTCGCGACCGATACGGCCTGGGGCTGGGCTCACGGCGGTGGCAGGAAACCACGCGTCGTCTGCACGCCGCGAGATAGTCACGCCGGAAACCCTCGCATGTCGCTCTTCACAAGTCTCCGGGCAGGCGCGACTAATTAATTAATTAATTGGCGCGCATCCACAAGCGCGCACGCACGCACGCGCAACCCGTTTCATTACGCACCGCTTAAAAGCAGAAGCGTTTCTTACGTTCGTTAAGCGTTTTCAATTCATTTATTCCGGTGCTCCGCCGACGGACGTCACCGCTTCCCCCGTCACGTAGCCGCCGAGAGTGGCGCAAGAACGGGGAGGGGGGGGGGGCCCAATCGTTGCGGTGAGATGCCCCCCCCCGGAGGTTGCGACCTTGCTGCTGGCTCAGCAACAAATGACCTCTGTGGGTTACAGCTGCGGCGGAAGGAAAGTACGGTTTTCGCTGAACGTGCACGTTGGCCAGGGCGGATTCGTGACTCGACAGCGAATGCGAAGAATTTGAGCAAACTGAAATCCACCCGTCAATCGCCACCAAGCGGCAGTGGCGTCGGTGGCGGTAGTGACATCGCTTTCGCTCCTTTGCCGGGTCTGGATTCACTCCTGAGGCCGCGCGGAGTGGCGAGGTTCGCTGTCTTGAGGTAGTGGTGAGAAAGACCCAGGAACCATGGATGGAGAAGCAGTGAGATTCAATTGACGGGAAGTCTAAATTAAACTATTTCAAACTATTTTCACTTTACCAGGTAAGGCCCACTTATCTAAATATAGCTTTTTTTTTTAGAAGCGACCTGGCCACAAATGATAGCTCAATGAAGTGGCTCATTGTGTGGAAATTATAGCAGCCAAAAACTCTTAAAGGCGTAACATTGATTCTAAATGTGGAGGAAAAAAAAACCTGAGGACCCAGGGAAAATCCACGCGACCACTGGGAGAGAGATATACAAACTGCCAATATACAGCAGCAGCAGCAGGCGTCAGGGTCCGGATCGAACCCACGACCTCCTGCTGCATATCAGACGAGGTAGTTAACATTTCGCCACCGTGGTGGAACAGACCCTGTTGGTTTAGGTAGGCGGGGAGGAATAGGCAGAATGGGCACATGTAGCACTGAGCCAGGCATACGAGTCCCTTATTGAAGCCGGGCAAGAGCCCACCGAGACTGAAAGTCCCCTTATTTAGAGAAACCGGGGTGACGACAACAGTGTAGACTACACGCGTGTCACATACGTGTGTGCACGCACGTGCGTGCACGGTTCACGTGAACGCACACTCTCACGGTCCAGTTGTCCATTAGCAACGGAGTGGTAGGAATTTGTTTTTCGAACGTCGATCCTTCCGCTCGCGAGATTCACGCGCAACCGCGTTGACGCGCAATCGGCACGGCATCCCTCCTCGGCCGCTGCGACGCTCGGCCACACGCAACCCGGGCCACCGGATCGCATGACAATCGTCCATCGCCCCTCCTCCCCGTGGTTCACCAGCCCTTCTCGCCGCCCGCATGATCGCCTGATTGATGCGGGGGGGAGCATCTTCCGCCGGCCGAGCCCGGTTTGGCGCTTTGCCTCGGACAACCTCGGCAGGGCGAGGGTGGGGAGCAAAGAAATTCCCGGGGAGTTTGGCGGACGAACAGGCTGACCCCCGCCCCCCCCCCCAGGCGCACCGCCCGGTGCGCTCTCACTTCCCTGCACCCCCCCCCACACTCCTTTCGACAGATGTGCTGTCTCAACGGGGTCTTTCCCTACCCCTGTACAAAGGGGGCACGTCACGTTTGCGATCGAGCTCAGGACTTTGTTACGTCAGCCGGTGAGGCCCCGTTGAGCCGAGCAGCAGCAGCCCTGTTGCAAGGACGGCCCACAGCCCGAGAACGCTGGCAGCGGTGGCAGTCCACAGGGCATTGAAGTTACACAGTTGCATAGAGATCCACAGAGTTACTTAGAGGGTCGTAGAATTACATCGAGTTACATGGACAGCCTCAGACTCGGGCTTTATTATGTCAGCTGGTGAGGCCCATTGAGCTACGAGGCACTCTTACAAGGACGACCACAGCCCAAGATTGTGGGCAGTGGAGGCAGTTACAGGAGATCGCAGGGAGGCGATGTGGAAACTAACGAGAGCGATGGTCTGTCGGGGCACGATTCGATTCGAGGAGTGATCCTTGAACATTTTTGGCGATCGTTGCGGAGTTGTGGCCGCTCGTTGCTGCACCGGTGACGTGAACCCACGGCGTTCGCCACGCAAGAGTTGAAAAGCAACGACGCTTACAAAATACGGTAACGATGCGTGCATTGTGAGCCTTAGCATTCAACATTAATCCTACCTGCCCACCAACTTATCTTTAATCTACTTATTTACGAACCTGCCTTCATAGTCGCCTTCCCGCATAACAACCTCCTTAGCTTACCTCTCTTGAGTCTGATGTCTAGTATGTGAAAAAGCATTAGTCAATAACACCTTGGCCTTGAAAGAGTAAATAACAGGTGACGTTTTAGATAATGGCCCTTCTTCATGGCACTTAGAGAGGCCAGAGAGGTAGAGTGGATTATAAGAGTTGGAGATTGAACCTTATAGCATGGGACCTAATGCAAATCACATGTTTTCAGTATATAGTTATAGACATTACATTTTTGCAATAGTACCCTCAATGTTTTTTTTACGTATTTTCATTAAACATATGTAGCAATCCGAAATATATATGGTCATGTGGCAAGAGAGAGGAAGTAAAAAAATAAATTGCAAGCATTACATTACGAGGATATTAATCCATCGCCGTTTGGACGAGAGCCCCCAAACAAAAACCGTTCACTTTTTCCAAAATATATATTTTTTCATCTAAAAAAAAAACCCCCATAAACTTAAATACACGCATGCTCTGAAAACATCCGCGAGCGTCAGCCGGCTAAGCCTGCGGCTCAGCCAGCGACAGGACACACGAGGAGCTGTTTTCATTTGGATGCCGCCGCAGTCCTCAGGAGACGTGGAGAGAGACACGGGAGAGACACAGAGATGGGGGGAGGATCATTCGCCAAGTCCCCATCCGGGGGTCGCGAGCTGTCCAAACGGCAGGAAACCGAGACCAAATAAAGTGCCGCGTGGGTCCCCTTAATCGTTTCCACCCACGCACTCCGCCAACGGGGATTCGGGATGAAATGAGAACTCCTCGCCGGGACTTGCATGACCAGAAAACGCATCGGAGCAAGCCGTGCAGCACCACGGTGAAGCCCTACACAGCAGTAGCACCAGCGTTGTCTGTCAAGATGGCAAATGCTTTTTTTTTGTTTTCAGGCAGAAGGAGTAGATGGGACGGGGTGTGTGTGTGTGTGTGTTTTTTTAGCGGGTAGGCGAGTTTGTGAAATAAACACAATGTGGTGGCGGCGGCGGTGGCGGAGTCGGCCACGGAGCCTGCCATGCTGGTGTGCTGCCCAGGGCACCGTTATCTCCCGATGCAGAACGCGGCGTGAATGTTTACACAATTACAGGAGCGTTCGCTTGCTCGCCCGCTCGCTCGGACTGTACTGCCGTTACGACACAGCGCCTGCCTCAACCAGGACACGCGCCCCAGTAACAATAATATCAGTAATAATACACAAGATGACACTTATAGCCAGAGAAGCGATAACCAATGGCGAGCGCCCTTGCTGACAGATGTGCAGCTCAAGTAGGTGGAGGGTGCAGGCCCCCCCCCCCACCGCCCCCCCCCCCAAATTCACGAAATCGTGAGTTTAAACCCTGGTCAGGGGCGGCTCAGCCCCCCAGCATTGTCATCATCATCAATCGTCGTCGTCCCTCTAGGGTTGATAAAATGAGTACCATCTGGAGTGCGCGGTAACACGTGGCGCGCACAGTAAAGTCAACAATGCTTCCTTTGCACGGAGACTGGTTTACCATGTCCACATTGTTCAGAAACGTTTTTGTCTGTGCGTCAGTCCATCCGGTCACAGAACTTGCTTGACTATTGTTTGTAGAGCAGAGATGTGTCAGACTTTATTCAGACAGGAAGGAACCAGGAACCAATGGTAATGATGATGGGAGCTATCCATGACCTATGAACTTTGACTTGGGTGTAAAAAACAAAAAGCCACGATCACCGCGCTAATCTTAAATGGTTTTAGAAATGTATAAGCCCTATTCCCATACTTCTCATTTTTGTGTTGAGAGTTGGGAATAGTTCTGTAAATGCAAGTAAAATCGAGGCAATGTAAAAGATAATGGAGTCTTTGTGTCGGTGGGAGGGGGGTGGTGGTCTGGGGAGGGCTCAAACAGTGAACATTTCACAGGCATTTTCTGAACATAATAATGTGGAATTTCCACCACTTGGCCCAGGGCTGCCAAAGGAGGTGCGCACTGCCCATCATTCGCTATGTGCAGGGAGATGCTAAAAATGTAACTTCATGCGCTATTAACAATTACTGCCAATCATCAATCCACTGCTGGTTGATGGTGTCCCCTCTGTGCCAGTCATCGGGATTGTTTGACCATGCTGGTCATTGCAGCTTGATTATTGTGGGGGGGGGCTCTCAGTGGGTGGGGGGTGGGGGGGGGGCGGGCAGTTCAAGACAAGTTCTGGTAACCACGGCCGGGAATCGAACTTCGGTGGCCCCGTTCGTAAGTTGCAGTTGCAGAAGCTGATGTTTGTTTGTTCCCCCCCCCCCCGCACGCGAGCCGTCTGTAAGATTCAGAAGTACGTCCGCAGCAAAGCGGTCCCGAGGAGCCGGCCCCCCCCCCCCCCACCGCACTCAAGGCAATAAACGCCACCGCCTGTAAATGCAGATTTATCGGCCGCTTTGCTTAGATTTTGTTTGGCGCTGTTTTCTTGGCAACGGCAAAACTGAGGGCAGTTTGGACACGTGTTTTCGGTCGCGGCGGAAGCCGCCGGCGTGCCCAGCTCCTTGTGTTGGCGGATCGTGCTGCGGGGTCGCACGCTCGTGAAAAACAGCCACCGGCGGAGATAGACACGAGGCGGACTGGTGGGAATTGCGGCACAGAGAGTAGGATGCCAGCGAGCCCGTAATATCTGAACGGAGTTTTCGGTGCCTGTGCCACCGGGTACCCCCCCCCCCCCCCCACTCCGGGCAACTCTGGTTTCCTCCCCTGTGAAGGAACTAAAATACCCAAATCACGAAATTGGCCAAACGTTCCAAGTCAGGTCCCTCGAGGGAGAGATCTTGAGACTCAACCGGGACTTGGAATGCGTAACCGGGCCCTCATCTTTACGCTTTTATTGTGAATGCGTTGTGGTCGTTTCGGTGCCTCAGTTTGGTTGACGGGCTTCGAGCTTGAGAGCGTTTGTGGGGGAGTCAGGGGCGGTGGGAAGGGTGGGGGTAGCCGGGCCCAATCAATGGTCATCGCGTGGCGTCGCTCATTCTGTTGTCACCTCCCGTGCCTCTTACATCAGCCGCCAGCGAGCCCACTGCCCAACGTGTTGGATTGGCACTCCACCCCGGCCTCCCCCCTCCCCTGTCACCCTCCCGAGATTCCATACGAAGGCTTGCGGAGGTTGCGTGAACCGACTCAAGTAGTTTGTAGAACGAGTTTGGTTGCAGCAGCAGCAGCAGCGGCGGCGGCGGAGAGGGCTGTAAAACCGTAGAGATAATGTCGCCTGTGGTGAAGCGTCTTGAATATTTATTTACCGTTTCAAGAGGATCAAATTACGCGGGTAAACGACGTCTCGCTTGTCGCCGTTCTTGCACACTTGGCAGACTCGCTGCGAGCACTGTCGAGCATTTGTGTAGCTGTGTTGGTTTTTTTGTGTTCTCTCCCCGGCTTGTCTCGTCGTCGAGGTTTGCAACGGCAAAATAAAACAAACAACGGCCATTAGTATATCAGTGCATGTCTTAGCAGCCTTAGCCCGCAACCATTCGGACTATGTGAACTTTTATTTTTTTTTGCACACGCAAGTAGTCGTGCAGATAAGACGGCCTTCCCCCTCCCGCTGCAGCGGTTGAGGACGCTGCCCCGAGCCGCCGTGCTTGGCTTGCTCAGCCCAACGCCGATAGACAGTTCGTACAAACAATTGCTCGCTCGCTCGCTCGGGCACTCGCCCACTCACTTACTCACTATGCGTTCAGCAGCTAAATGCCAATGTCGAGGTCTTCCACCCACGAGAGGGCTTCAGGAGTTGCGTTCGTGTAGTTGTATTCTTCCTCCTTGGTTTACTATATACGGTCCACAGCTTGGGTTGAATAGCCACAATCGTGCTGCCCGTGCATGAGATGCACTCATCCACTCACCTATAGACATACACTCGCACACATTCCAAAACCATAAATGCTGATGCTGCAAGAGTCACTGCTGTTGCACACAAATATTATTACTCTTAAAGGTCACAGCGGTTAACGGCTGATGCGTGTTTGTGTGTCGTTGATTGCAGACGAGGGATTCGATGGAATACATCCTGGAAACGGTTGATTTTCTGCAGATGCACTCATGGCTGGCCGACATTAAGGATTGCTTGCGGCTTGGGTGAGTGTGGAACACCGCTCCACTAATCGACCCTCGCTCGGTCTCTCCCGCCATCACCCGCTTCCTCCCTCCCATTGCTCCCTTCCCTCCCTCCCATTGCTCCCTCCACTCCCTCGCCAGTAATTGTCGACGAGAATGCAGGACATTCATCGCCGGTTATGTAATTAATCATCTCCCCCTATCCGCCTCTCCCCCCCCCGACAACAACAATTCATAGAATTGTCACGATTCACGGACTCGATTTACGTCCAAGAATAAAAAAAAATGTTTTGCCATTGTGGTTCGTCTAGAATCTATAGTGGCTACAAGGTTTCCAGGAATCGGTCGCGTTTCCATAAACCAATCACGTCTATATAACGAGGGGCTAATCTGTGGTTCTGTATATTTGTATTTCTCTTTTACCAAGTAACTCCCCCCGCTCCTTTGTTTGTTTGACACCTGCCCAGGGCCCATAAAATCCAACACTCCCATAAACTGCCGTGGCCGGATTTTCCACTCCTGCAAACGCTCTCTCCCTGCCCTCTCCCCTTGCCCTTTAGAATGCCCTCTGAATGTCCCTCCCACCGCTCCCCAGAGCAGGAGAGCTTCACCGTGAGTCACCTTGAATCTTGGAGCCGTGAGGCGAAGGCCACGCGATCGGCTGCCTGGCCAATTAGAGCACACGTCGCCGCTGTCACTGGAGGTCATCGTCCCGCGCGATTAGTTGCAGGGTTACTGCCAAAATACGATCAACGAACCGGTTTTGAAAACTGCAAAGGGATAGGTGACTCGTCAAAATTTTTTACGTAAACTTAGCATGAAATCTCAGCGCATTTCATTTCAGTCTGCCAAACTAAATTTGCCCCGCTGGATTTTTGTATTGTTGCGTTTGACACGCGTTGCCCAATCCAACCGCGACTTGAGACTTTTATCCAATAATAAACGGCAACATTAGGAACAACAATCACAACATCATCATCATCATAACCACGAACAACAAACAAAACATCAGGAACAACAACAGCCACGTTGCTACGCTCTGCCAACAAAAATTCGGGCACTTTTTTTACATGGGGTCACTGGAACCGCACGTGGGATTTCAGCCCCGCCACGAAAAACCACGACTGCCGCTGTCTGGAGCGGCGCCAGATACTCCGGACGACGTGGCCCCATGGGCCCCGTCAGGCACACCCCCCCCACCACCCCGAGTTGAACGCCACCCCCAGCCTTCACTCGACAGCCGCTGTCCCTCTCCGACTCCCACCCAAACCCCCCATTCTACCCTTGCAGTCTCTCTTCCAAAATGTGCGAACAGCGTCGAACGGCCCCACACCGTCGCCGTGACTCACTGCTTCAGGGCGTTTACGTTTGTAAATTGCTTGGAAAGGGCAGCTCGGAATTGGAACGTCAGATGCGTGGGCACGGTTCCCGTGTTTCTCGATAAAGCAGGTGCCAAGTCTGGTTTTACGAGTCACCGTGCGAACATCCAGGGGGGGTAGAACAAACATCCTCCGAAGCGGTTGCCTCGCACTTTAAAAACCCATTTTTTTGGTGCCAAAGCCGGGGGTAATGTTACACGCAGCTCACGGAGAAAATCACCGACGTCACTCGCAAGCACATTTTTTTAAACAAAATCACAACTGGGCCGCACCCCATCTGGATTTACAACACTTTGTCAATCCACTGCTGGATCAGGGAGGGCCTCATTGTGGCCCGTCAATCAGGGAATTGCTTCAACCATACTTTGCTAAGCTAGTCAGCGCTCAGCGGTGGTAGTGGAACATTGTTGTTGCTCGCAGTCGATAGGAATAGATCTCAGGTTGGTGGATTCTTAGCGCAGCACACTAAGCACTGCGCTACCGCCTTTGCCCCACATCCAGTTAGGAGTATCGCATCACAACCTCGAGCATGTTGCTCATGCCATGTGTTCTTGCTGATAATTTTTATTAATGATTATTCTCGTCGTGTAATTTTTGGGTTTTAATTATATTGAACAAACCCCGTTTCGCATTTCACCATGCGGACCGTCAAGATCATTTCATACGCTGATCGAGTTGTAAACAAATTACGAACAAAGGAATGAATGAAGGAGCAAGCAGCGGGGGGGGGGGGGGGGGGGGGGGGGGGGGTTGCTGTGACCCCTCTGGGGTCGGCGTGTCTTACCATCCCCTCCGCCGTGTTTCCCCCTGCTCAGGAACGAGGGCACGAGGCTGCAGGCGCTCGGGAGTTCGCCCTCCGACAACTCCATCCACAGAATCTCGTCCGACATGAGCGCGTCGACGCAAGGTGCGCAACCGATGCGCAACGGGTCGCACCACCGCCACCTGCCCCGGCGATTCGATTGCTGTGATTGTTCGGGAAGGAGATTCTACCAGAGAATGTTACCGCGTCGATCGTTGAGTTTCTCGTTTTTGTATCCGTTTCACTCGCACGGTTGTTTTTTTCCTCGCACGATTAGCCTCAACCTTAATAGCGCACGGTGTTACCACGGTGCGCGCGAATTGTTAAATAATAATCGATGCCCAGTGCACGCGATTGAATGTTGGATTATTATGCACGATCGTTACATGGCTAGTACAAACATCGTGTATCCTTAAGTTTACAGGGCCTCAGATTGAAACCAGGTCTCCCTTTGTATAACGAGCCAGGCAGCATAGCAAGCGGGTTCCCAACGGTTCACCTGAACGTCAGGAGCGTAAGCGTTATATCCTGTAAGTGGCTTTTGCAAGTCGCCCGGGGGAAAACACAAACTAGCGAATCCTTGACATCGGTCTTGATTTTTATCAAAAAGTGATTAAATATTTCTCAACGTCAAGCCAAGTGCGATGTTGCGGTGGACGGCGGCGCTCGCGCGTCCCTTCCAGCCGCCTCCTCCTCCTCCTCCGTGAGCCGCACGCGAGCGCCACGGCAAGGAACTGCAGCGAGGCAACGCGATGTCCCGACTGCGGTCACGCGGGCGCTGTCGCAGAATCCGCGGCGCGGAAAAACACACGGGGGGCGCGCAGGCGAAACCGAGGCCCTCGCCTCCCTCGCTTCCCGTTTGATCAACGAGCAACTTGTGCCACGAGGGAGGCGGGCGGGTGGGCGTGGTGGGTGGGGGGGGGGGGCGGGCAGCGGGCGAAACTTGCGCTTTCAGGCTGCGGGAATGGGTTAAAATAGCATTTTAAATGGCACTTCTGAGAAAGGCTCTCGCTGGCCCTATCGATTCTAGGCAGCGGGCTTTTGTTTGCCATTCGGTCGCCGCTGGCCGAGTTTCAAAACCGGGGGTTTTTCCAGGTAAAACGGCCGGGGTTTTTGTAAACGCTTCAAAACTTCCACCCACAGAGCGCAGCTCTTGTCGTTTTTTTTTTCCCCCGGCACAAAACGGGGTGAACCGTGCGCGGGTTTAACGCGCCACCATGTATAGTTAATACAGTTAAGGTCGAGCGAACGTCCGAACCCTTCTGTATTCTTTTAACGCTTGCATGCGTATTTTTGTTGCGATGCGAAATTTTTGTTTCATTGAACACATCGCTTCGATTTGCGAATTTCAAGCGTGGTATTTAAGACCCGACCATTTAGTCGGGGGTCAGTGTTGCGAGCTTGGAGAATCCCTAGCTTAGGATACATGGCCCAGCTCGGTGCCGGCGATGTCTAACGCCCTCCCGTCGTCAGCTGCCAAAACCTCACGTGGAGGACGGAGGGACGGTCCCGTCACCGCGTTGTCCTCCTCCGTGTGCCTCGCTCAGGCCTGCACTCGGGTGGCTCCGGGAGCCACAGGACGGCCCGCCCGCGCAGCCTCGACGGGGACGGCGGCGGCTCCCGTTTTGGCCTCGTGGACGGCGCCCCGCCGGAGGTGCCGCCCCGGGCGCCCGTGCACGGCCAGGGCCCCGAGCCCACGCACTTCCTACCCATGATCGCCTCCGGCGCGATGGACACGAGCATGGCGACAGGCGAGTGCACCGGCCTGCGCGACGCTCGCACGCTTGCTTACCCGCACGTCGCTCGCACACTTGTTTGTTCCCACAGTCGCTGGCTTGCGTAGTTGCAGTCACCCTCAAGTCACCCTAAAATGTGTGTTATTCGCTCTCTTGTGCGAATGCTTAATTTGTTCAATCACCCGCTCACTCAATGACTCTCAATCACTGTCGCTTCTTCCTCCGTCACCCGCTCACTCATTCATTCACTCTCTCATATGCTCGCTTACCCGTTCGCTCACTCAATCACTCACTCACTAACATTTGCTTTACTGTCTCCCATTAATTCGCTCATTTATTCGTTGACTTTGTCACTCAGTCAGACACGGGATGCTCGCTTACTAGCTTGAGCAGACATTCATCAATAACGCTCAGGGAATACAGGTGCTTGCACATCGTTCAACTAATGAGTAACACGGGGGGCTTTCAAGCCCAGGAGGATGATGGTTGGGTAACAGTACAAACCAGAGCGGAATTACAGTGAAATTAACTTGATGTTTTCCGAACCGCTCATATTTATTTTTGTGTTTGTACAAACCCTATTGTTTAGCGTTTTATTTATTTTGGCATTGAACCCTTGGGGCTGACAGACATTACGTCGAAAAGAGTTCTGGCCAAGCAGCAAGTTCGTGGAAACGTTTAATGTTTTCGTTTTATATTTAAATAACTCCATCATTATTCATGCAAATCACATCTCGCAATCGCCAAGAAACCACCGACGAGCTGCTAGGCGGTGAGCCGGCGCTGAGAATTTGCCCAAGCTTTGCAGTCCTCTAGTGGCAAAATTTGTGACTGTTTATTCACGTTGCCATTCAAATTACTTGACAATAAGCGGCAGAGGAACCAAGACGAAACCGTAAAGTCCGTGCTTGCAGCAACGTTCTCTCAGCGCTTGTGACCAAGGAGGGAAGTGAGCGATGGGCAGAAGAATGACGAGGAACTAACCCGAGATCACGAGCCTCGGCGTTGCGACTCCCCCCCCGTCCCACGCGACAATCGTGCGTGCCGCTCGCACGGCTTGACGTGGGAGAATTCTCTGAGCGCCTGACACGGTTCGCTCCACGCGCCACTGCCAGTGGAATTTCCCCCGATCGTCGCTCGAACCGCCATCGAGAAAGAGGGGAGGGGTGGAAAAATCCCCAAGAGCGGCTTTCAGAACTAAACGCTTCAAAACAAAACTCTGACGTGCTTTTTTTATGGGCCATTAACTCTGTTTTTACCTCAGGGGTCACATTAAAAGCTGTAACCTCTCTTCGCTCGATAACGTACTGATGAAAAGTGACGACGATGATGATACGATAATATGGTTATTCATGAACCATCTCTGAATCTCAGTACCTATCTTGTGCGCGTTAGAGGGACTTGGGGTGTCAAAGAGAAAACTGTCGAACCTACTTGGTGTACTGACTCTTACAGGCAGATCGCAATTCCTTTTTTCGGAGGGAAGCTTATGCTGCCCTGGTCACAACATCCACAATATTTATGCTGGAACACAAAACGGTTCAGCTCCATGTGCCGGTATCTCGCAAGGCCGATGATGACAACGATCCCACTGTGGATAAAACATTAATTGAAGTAATACATTCTAGAGCTGGTGCACGATTGTCTATGGCGTTGGCACGTAGCGCCGGAATATTTTTTTTTTGTTACAACAAAAACACGATGAGCGTTGCGCGCGCATGCAGAAACGTGCAGACGATCAAAACCCGAAGCACACATTTACAAACGCCCACGCCAGGCCCTGCGGCGGTGACGATGTGCCGCAATCACTTCTGGATTCAAAATGCGAAGGTGATAAGGAACGGACGTACGTGTCGGATTCTTATCGCGTTTCCCGGCGAACGCCCGTGGTGTTGCGTCACGCACGGGAGTGTCGCAAACGAGGCGACGCTACCTTAGGGGCACCCACCCGGCCGGCCTGTCAAACACGACGGCGAAGTTCTGACCTTTAATTTAAATCCTTGCCAGACAGACCCACGCGACAAACGCACACGTGTCACGGGGAGGGGGGAGGGGAGAGGTTTTCGCCGCAGCCACGAAGGCGCTGCAAAGCGTTGCGCGAGCGATGATCTCGCAGAAGGGGCGGGGGTTTAAAGAAAATCCACAACACTGTAGGTTGTGTGCCATTGTGGGATTGGTGACGGAAGGGTGGCGGAAGAAAAGCGACTGTTGGTAAGGGGAGGAGACTCGCGGAGAGGCCTTTTTTCAGGCTTACGAGAGTGGCAAAGGGCCCCGCAACCGGGTGTGAAGGTTACTCAGCGCGATGACGAATCAGCCAATGTCTGGCAACCCACAAAACGCCTGCATGCATTGCATTGGGGCTGGCTTTTAAATGGAAAAATTAAATTGGAATAAAACACACTGCCCCACATTACACGAGTTCGAGACAGTCTGCACCCCCCCCCTCCCTAAGTAGCCACGAGCCACCGACCCGGGTCCCAGAGACTCCCCCACGGCACGTCGTGACGCAACGTAAATCGCAGGAGGGAACAGCACACGCGGAAACCGGCGCGGGGTTGCGTTAGGTGACACGGTGTCACTTTTCCCCGCGCTAATCACACACACGGGTGCCACAGGCCCCCCCCCCCGCACGCGGGTCTCACCGCCGTTGGCACGGCTTGGTAGGCGCAAGCGCGCCATACCCCCCCCCTTCGTCCAATGTTGCATCTCTTCATGGCCCGTCACCTGGGCCCCTCCGGCCTGTGCACTCGATAGCGGTCATCGGGCCTCCCCCCCGCCCCCATCTCTTGCAATGGGCCTAATCTCTCTCGCACCATCCGCTCACAGAGATGCCCGTTGCGTTGTCCACCCCCCACCCTCTCTCCCCCCCGTGTCACCGCAGGCACCCAGGACTGCAACGGGCCACTGTCGGAGTGCCCGTGGTTCCACGGCACGCTGTCACGCCTCAAGGCGGTACAGCTGGTGCTCACCGGCGGGGAGGAGCGGCACGGCCTCTTCCTGGTGCGGGAGAGCGAGACGCGGCGCGGGGAGTATGTGCTCACCTTCAACTACAAGGGCCGTGCCAAGGTTGGTGAGGGTTTGTTATTTTTAATGAGATGGTGATAATAATAAGCCATCACCGACAAAGTTTGCTCAAGCTCGGCTCGGCGTGGTAGGGGGCAGGGGACAGGGGGTGGGGGGCAGGGGGTGGGGGGCAGGGGGTGGCAAACAGCAAGTTCAACTCCTGCGGTCAGCACGGTCCGTTGAATGGTTCCTTGTTCGCCGATACCAGGAATCGCTAATGTAGCAGGGATGTGATTGTTGACAACACAGTGCTCGAATTTCAACCGACTCCCAATCACAGCGACCATACTGCTAGCTGGTTTGAAAACGCACACTCGACAGTGAAGAACACTTGAATTGAAAATGCCTTCCTCGATCTCTTTCCACCTCCGTGCAAAATTAAATTGGAGGCTGCAGACGTTTACCAATTTAGCTCGGAGATGCCACTTGTTCGAATTTTTTTTTTCCCCGCGTTCCCTTCAAAGCTTGCTCGCTCGCTCGTTCCATGGCGCTCACTTGAACCATCTGCTCCTTCTGTCCCATTCCCCCTTGCGTCTCCGCCACCACCCCTTCCCCCCCCCACTCTCACAACCACCCCAGCACCTGCGGCTGTCCGTGAGCGACGACGGCTGCTGCCGCGTCCAGCACCTCTGCTTCCCCAGCGTGGCGGCCATGCTGGAGCGCTTCCAGACCGAGCCCATTCCGCTGGAGTCCGGCGGCATCGGGGACAGCGTCACGCTGTCGCGTTACGTGGCACGCGCGCAAGGTGAGGGCCCCCCCCCCCCCCCCACTGCCGCTCGCTGCCACCGTCGCTCGCCGCGTCGGCTCCCAAGGTCTAACATTTACGCAAATTCCCCAGGCAAACCCGGCTATGGAGGTGAAGCACGCTGGGCGACAAGGCTGACGGCGATCTAGAATGCCGGTGACGGACAGTGGCATTGTGTAGTTTTCTATCAACATAATGCCACCGTTGCATTCGTTCTGGCAACCCGAATTCTACTTTTGGTTTTTCAGACCGATGCCTAGCGCTGTCAAAATGGAAAAAGTAAAAAAAAATCACTCCGTGGTTGCATAATTGGTGGTTGTTTTACCAACTCATGATTTGCGTACAAGTTCTGGTTCATTGCTGGGTTACAGGACCAAAGGACTGTATAGCCAGACCAGAGCCAGGCAATGGGTTGTGGTGTGCGTGGGCGAGAACATGGCTGGGTTTACCTCGCCTGGTTTCTCTGGGGTTCGAAGCTCGAAAACGTGAAGGTATCAATCTAGGGTATATGGGCACTGGGGCGCCTTTTCAGGACCCAGAAAGCATGGCGAGTAGTCATTTCTTAACTGCCACCATGTAAACAGCACCACGATCGGGCACTAATTCAGGACGTGGCCACTTGTGCCAACTCCAGGTAGAATCCCAGGGTGAGGGGATCGGGCACAGGGCCTTCCACTCATTATGGTGGGACATGACAAAAATTCCAAAACAAATGAAAAAGGAAGCATGTGCAACCGGAAAATAAATAAAACGTTAAATGTATTTGGGTTTGAGATGACGGTACCACGTGAGCCCTGCTCAAGTGGGAGAGATGGATGCGAGGCACTTGTGCCCTCAGCCCTAGCCCACCTAGGTGATTATCCCCGGAGAAGGCGTGATCTGTGGCCGGCAGCCACGATTTGCTCGCATTAATTCCGCGTTGAGACGACACTCGGGTGAACAATAACAAGAGCAGCAGCAGCAGAAAAACAAACTCCAACAGAGCTGCGACAACTGGGATCCGAGTGCGACGCACCATCGAACCGGGCGCCACCCCCCCTCTCACGCAAGTCCCGTTTGCACTAACCCCCTTCTTTCCCTCTGCCCGTCTCTGGCACTAACACCCGGGTTCGCACGAGAGACGCACGCTCGCGTCGGGCGTCCCCAATGCGCGGCGGGGGGGGGGGCGAGAGAGCAACGCGAGGCCCTGCTGAGGCCACTCGTTGTGTGCTGTGCCCCTCCACAGGCGTCGCCAAAGCAGGCACTAAAGCCTCACCCGTGGCCGATGCCAACCACCACTTGCCAATCCACTCACAAGCTCATGCCAGCCTTCCCTTAGGAGCTAATGATTATTTGTAAGTCTGCACGTGCATGCCTGTCGTCCTCCAAACCACCCCCCCCCCCTGAAAAAGGCTTCTTTACCAGCTGCTCACTTTCCTTTTTTTGTTGTTTTGCTTGCAGCCTTTGTGATGCTTCCATTTCTGTGATCGAGTCGCTGTAATGGACGCTGCGGTCAGCGGAAGGGGCATGGTTTTGCATTGATATGAATGCACGCTGCTGGCGCTGCTGGCGCTGCTGCAGGAGAAATATCGACAGAATGTTCCGATTCCCCCTCCCGCCACCTTGTGTACATGGAAACATCTGAAATTAGTCCCTTTACCCCCACACCCTGCGACCCCACCGCCCTTGTCCGTTGAACGTCGGCGATGATGCTGGCCTTGTAATCCTGCCCGCGAATACGTTCCCTCCTCCCCCCCCTCCCCTCCCCGACAGAGGCGATCAGCGTTCGTAGCCAGACCCCGATGCAGACGCCCATGCGCGCGCCCCGCTACCAACGGTGGAATTCGGAGGGCGACCTGCGCCGGCCACAACTGCACACCCGGCCGTCGGCCGCCACCACCACCGCTGCCGTCGCCGCCACCGCCTCCGCCGCCATGGGGGCGTTCCCCCAGCAACGGAGCGTGTCTCAGACGACGGTGTTCATGTCGGAACGGAGGAAGGAGGGTGGCGTCACCTTCCTGCGCACGTTCGATCCCGCCCGGTTCCGCGAGCTCTTCCAGCGGCGCCACAGCTCGCGGGCGCAGCGCGAGCCGGAGCCGCACTCGCCGGGACGGCCACGCGCCACGGACAATCAATACTACGTGGTATGACGCACGCCACAGGCGGCCAACGTGCGATGTGACGTGCACCGCCGACGGAAAACGTCGTGGGACGCCGCTGGTCACCGGCCCTGCGCCTCCCCACGACAATTGCTGCACGGTGTGATGTGTGCCACCGACAAAAAGTACTCTGGTGAGACGCTGCTGGTGACGAGTGCCAAAGGCGACCAGTCCTACGTGGCGCGAGGCTCCTGGTAACCAGTGCTAACGTCATGTGATGTGTGCCCCAGGCGACCAGTATTATACGTGGTGCGATGTGTTCCACTGACAAGTACTGTGGTGTGATGCCACTGGGTAACCAGTGCTGTGTGGTGACAGATGCCAAGCGAAGCTTTTTTAAAAAAACGTGCTATTTTTGGAACCCCCGACTCTCATTGGCTTATTTACTTTCACGAAGCATTCACTCAACACAAAGCGAACACTGGTTTGGAGTTGGGCTCAGTGCTATTAATAAAAAAATCGGGAATTTTTTTTACATGATTTTTGTACTGATTTCTCGGAAACGATCTTACCAAACCACCGTGGAAATTGCTCTCTTGGAATCACTCCCGGTGAAAGTGAGATTTGTTTGCACATACGTTCTCAGTGTGCCCGGAGGGTCAAAAAGTGCTGGAGGTTTTGGAGGATCGCAGGTAACGTATGACACAGATGTGCACGCGTTCACGCGCCGCAGCATCTTCTCACCCACGTGTCTCCATCCTGCATGGGGCCGTCGCCTGCATTGGCCCGTCTATTTTGACCAGTTTTTTTTTTGCCTTCGTGCAACCAAGACACTCCCAACTAAAATGCAAACGTAGCAGCAGCAGCAGTTGTGCTTGTGGCCAGTTGCTGTAGGCAACTGCACTTACAACCGAAGGGGGTGGCAGTTTAGTCAGATGGGGTTAAAAATACCATAACCACTTATAAGCCAAGTGTGAGAAATGCTATTTTCTATAAAGGGCCTCTAGGTTGTTATGTCCCCTTAAACACAGCATGATTAAAAAAAGAGACAAATTAGACACTTCCCTTGCAATGTGTGCCATTGCCAGATCATGGCCACACAGTCCTGATGAGTTTCCACTTTTAACTGTCAAGCGTTCAGTCCCAGAAATGTATGTTCCACAGATTTGTGAGATTAAAAAAAACCTTTGCACATTTATAGCCTCTTAACTTACCCTGAATGTGAAAGCGCTCACCAGCTTACAGAGCAGCCAGGCAGAACAGACTTGGGCCAAATCGCAAGAAGTCCTGAGCTTTGCTTGCTTAAGTGCTTTTCAAGCCGATCCTTTGTTGTCCGAAAACAAAAGGAAAATCAGAGGATCATAAATAATTTCGTAATTTAAAAACTAAACTATTGACGTCATAGGCAAAGTCGCAATTACTGGTTACCTCAAAGTTCTCGGAAATATTTCAAAGTTTGTAGGGAAGAAAAAAAACTGACTTTTTTTTAAGTATTACCGATTAAAATCTTGACAACACCACACGGAATTTTGTGCAAGGTGACAAATTCCAACGCAGAAGACTTTTACCGTGGCTCCACTAAATGTTATTCGCCACCTAACCGTATAATTAATGCAATCGAATCACCGGTGAATTTCAACTTTTGTTTTCCTTTAAAAAAAAAGGGTAACCCATACAATGCTGTATTTATAGGAAATACTGAATGTATGAACATTTTGCCTCAATGTTTAAAGCTGCTCTTGTTAAAACAGTATTAAGGTCACGAAAGTACTGTAACCTGTTCATTAAACGTTAGTCGGAACGTGTGTGTGTGAAACAGAGCAGAGTCGATCGGGCGTTAGCTGCTTTAAATTTATTTTCCTCCGCCTTTAAAGTTTTTACGTGGGACTCACCCGAGCCACGTGTCTTGCTCGAAGTCTACGGTGGCAGTTTCTCGATTTCGTTCCCGTAATCCAAACAGCCAGGCCAACAATGGATCCTTGAAAGAAAACTCTCCAGCAACCTTCATGGGGGCAGGGGGGAGGGCAAAAAAAGCAACCGCTATACAATCACAATGTCCATAAATGTATCATGTACGATTAAATAATTACACACGGCAGTTTAAGACTGCGTTATTGAGTGCTGTGATTATACGAAACGTAAAGGCGTTTTTGCCAAAATGCTGCAATGCTTGACTGATCTGCAACAGAGGCCTTAAAAAATCACACACCCGACAAAAGTTTTTCAACTTCAAAGATGCAATCTAAGAATCTCATAGTCAAAAAAATCATCGACGCCTGGCGGACACGGACGTTTAGGAGAATCAAGCTCGTGTGTGCGTGTGTCGTTATATTCTCCTCGCGAAAATTTTTAAATGCATACCTTTATGGACACCTGCATGTGTTTAAACAATTCCAGCGGCTGTGAAAATGTTGGAAAAATGTTTTTGCGAAAGGTTGAATTGGACAAAAAGGTTTAAAAAAAACCTACTCCCGTTATGAAGCCACTTTCAGATTTATTGTTGGGCCTGGATATTTGCCAAGTTGGAGTATAGGTTTCATGCTCACATGCTACGATGTCAACAGCGAGCACGTTATTTTGTTTTGCTATGTCCTGAGTAACTGTTTCATTTTGTTCTAGATAATATATAACGAAAAAAAATCAGCATTATTCACTTGTGCTGTTTGTAGATCAAGAGTCAGTGAGAGGCTCATTTCATTTGGAGGTGTGCAACCGCGTCCTATTTAATAAAGTAAATTGTGTACCATCGTCATTTTACAAAGCACTGCCATTAAAATATATTTTAACAAATATCTTGTAAACAGAGAGACAAAAGAAAACATTTAAAAAGACAAAAATATACGAACTCAATAAAAAATGCTTTGTATAGTCTTAAGTTTGTAGATTACGTATTGTTATGCAGCGGCATTGCTCGGCACTGATGCAGTGGGGACGTGTTTAAGTATTGTCGCTGTCCAACGTGTCTTTTCGTTATTTTGATTGTAGTCACTGTAAGCATTAAGGTCTTACAAATTAATGTAGCGCTTCAAACAGCGCCCGTGCCCCCCCCCCCCCCCCCCGCCGCCGCCGCAGAGAGGTGAACTATGCCATTTCATTGCTAACGCAGATAACTGTTTTTTCTATTATTCCCCCCCCCCCACTGCCGCGTTAAGTGACGCTTGTGAATGCTTCAGGTGTTTTCAACTCATTCCGTGCGGAATCCTGCACAAGGTAAATCTTAGGAGGCTTTCCAGCTATTTATATTTCTTAACTTCAGTCACTTTACGCTGCGATTTAACGATTGGAAATGTCAGGGTTGGACCACGACCAAACGCTGGGGGGCCCACAACACAAACCGGCAATAAGCACTCTGGGTAATTTTAAAGTCAAATTACTTTTTTCGACAATTAAACGAGTTCTTTGGAAGTTGAATGCTTTAAGTACAAAGCGTGAGCGCATCAGGGCCTTGTAGGCGGGGGGGGGGTTGGGTAAGCGTGTTTATCTTTCACTTGGAATTCACTTAAATCCTTTAAACAGTAAAAAAAAAACCCATGTACATTTATTTATATCCCAAGTGTTGTTATTGGTTTCGTTTGGCTCGGTGCGCAGATTTTCATTGACCCCCCCGGGGTTGCGAGCCCAATGCACCCAGAGGAAACGAGGGCGAGATAAGGGACGCACGGCAGCGCAACCTCCCCCGCGGGCGACCCTACATTTTCAATCGTTTTCACGATCCGCAGCGGTTCTGTGGATGGCACGGACGTACGAGTGACGCCGAAAACTTTTCTGTCCCTTCAAATCAAAGCAGCATTAAGCGTGTACTGTTGGCAAGCACAGTTTCATGAACGCACGGGGCACACAAAAGGGAGGAGTCCGTCAATAATGATAAAAGCATGTACTTTTGGAACTTGTGGATTATGGGCAAAATTTTAACGAACTTGGAAACCAAAACGATATTAAGAAAAAAAGGTTTGCACACGCAGCAACCAACACTACATAAATACGGTACATGTGAACATTGCGCGCACGGTGAAGGCATTGTGTTACAAACCCCAACGTATACATATTGTCAATTGCCCAAGCATTCTTACACGGGTCAAAAAGTTTTGAGAACGTAAAAGTTAATGTAGCACCGTGAACTTTAACCAAAATTGTACAAGCGTGTCGCTGTGGTATTAACGTACAAGGCATTTCCCAAGTGGAAACATCAGGTTTTCTAAACTTTTTGACTATGGAAGACAGTTGACACGCAAAATTATGCCCACTTTCATTTTATTATTAGTATGTATCAGCCTATATTTTTATAAACAATGTTTATGATTTACAGAAAGTGTTACCTCTGTGCTAACTTTTAAGATTATTTATTCCATTTAAATGGGATTAAGAAAAGTATATTTTATTTTAAAATTTTTACCGCTATGCTGAAGGTAAATAAAACAAAAAAAATTGTTTGTGTTTACATGGTCTCTGTTAAGAAACAATGCGTAAAAAGTATTTGCATGTGCATCTAAAAAAATCCCGACTTCGTCATTGTCAGCACTGCTTTGATTTCCAAGTCATGGATGAAAAACTATCGACAAACCAAAAAAACAATCCCAGAATGATCACTCGTTACAATTGCTGCATCCAAAAACCGTACTTTTTAATTTAATGATATATTATCGACCACTGAAGGCACATTTGAAACCGTTCAGGCCATTCATTGCTTGGTTGATTTTCAGCTTCATATCACATTAGCCACTCATTGTGCAAGTGCTCTGTAAATGCAGCGTACGCCATCTGGGTTGTGTGCTGGGCGATTGGTCTCTCCAAATATGCTCTCGCTGTATTACCGTCAACTAATTGCAATTCATTCTGCGTCTTCACGCGCATGTTTCATATATTTCACAGTGAATGGCAGCATCCATCGACAATTTTGAATAGCCCACATGTATCTTATCTTAAAATAATTCATATATAGCGCCTTATTGAAGGCGCCTTACACAGAATGAACAATAGTACACATGCATGTAATGGTGGAGATGAGGTGAATGAAATGAAGCAATGGGGGGGAAATCTGTGATGCGTGAATTTGGTGAAAGCAAAATTGATTAAAGTAAATGATAAATTGAATTAATGGGGAATGAGTGAAAGCCATAAGAGAATATGAAGAAATAAAAGTAACGGTGGTGGTTATGAGGGGGGAGAGATTAAGGGGTATTGGGGTGAGCTCGGGGAAAATAATGGAGTTGAGTGCAGAGTGGAAACTAGCAAGAGAAAAAGAGCGAAGGCGTGGATTGAGCGCGAGGAGGAAGAGATGGACGGCAAATATTGAGACTGGAGAGGGCGAGAAGGCACACAGAAAGATACAAGCATGGCAAAATATGGTGGGGCAAGACCATCAAGGGATTTGTAAAGCAGGGTGAGGAATTTGAACAGGCAACGGTATCAGTTTCAAGTGTAACGGATAGACAACACCGCATGTAAAGGTCGACTAGCATCGAGGTCCAGGATGCACCGTTCAAAAACTCAAGACAAGTCATCTCTCTCTGCCTGTTTGTGAGAAAACGAATCTTAAGTGGCACAACAGGCTACATATGGCCACATCTGGATATAAATTGCTCTGGCTGGTTTAGTGAGGTTCACAATGCCAGAACCTCAGGTGTATTTTGAATCTGCCCACCCTTTGGGTTTCACCAATGCACATAGCAGGATTATTTTTTGCACGAGATGCAGAACAAACACAACGCTCAAGCAACACAGGAACTCATGTTTCGTATTAAAATATTCATCGCCATGCAATCATATTTTAACCGTGGCGTTCAAGGCGACCCAACTGACAATCCTATGGGTGACCTTGTGAACCTCGATAGGTCCAGAAAACTCCGTTTTTCCCATATTACATCCTGACTTTTTCTGTGAAAAAAAATCCAACAGGTGCCATTTATAATAAAGTGCTTTTATACACCGTGGTGTCATTCCAGCAAAAATGCATCTCACACCACTATACTATCTACAATACACAGCGAGGTGTATATATAGAGATGTTTTTAGCCAATTATTTTTTATCCACATGGGAGAAATCGGAGCACCTGTATACAACACACGTGTTTTAAGGGGCAGCACTCTGTCCCACATACAAATGCAACAGAAGGAATAGAGTCCACACTTGCTGTACCAAGAAATCCCTGTTTTACTTGTATTATTTCTAGAGGGTTTTTCAGCAGTGGCTTCCTTGTTCATCTTCGGATTTCCTTGAGGCTTTTGGCAATTACTCCAGTGCGTTCGCCAATCCCACCATTCTGTAGCACAGCACACCCAATCTGAATAGATACAAAAACATATGCTGTTAGTATGGTCAATGGCGATACTCTCTGTGCCTTTAACATTAATAATACATTTCAAAAACTGGGAAATATATAAATGCAATGAGTGGACAAGGCTTTTAACGGTTAGTGGAGAATGGGTTCAAAGTAATTAATTCAAATCGATCCCTAAAACTCAAAATACGTGCATTGAATCAGGTCAAAACCAATATTTCAACATGCCACCTGCACTATTTAAAAGGGCTACATTCACCAAAAGTTCAAGTGCCACAAACTCGAACCTCTAAATTTATTATCCACAAATATCATGTCATTTATTTGGGAAACCCTCACCGTGTGACGACTTTATTAAAGAGGGTCCGACATTGGGGTGCTCAAGCAATTCATTATTTTGCCAAATTTAAGAATGGTTCCCGTTCTATCACGGGAATCTAGATAGTGTGTAAAAAAATCCCAATGGGCAGTCACCAGGTTAAATAAAAACCAATACGATTGGTCTTAAACTGGTTAAAGTTACATGAGGCTCATACATTTCACCGCATACACAATCATCTTGCAAACACAAGACCCAAAAGGGAGTAATTTTTGCGATGAATCAAGAAAACAAAACAGTCACTTAAAACAATCGGAAAGAAATCTCAAGTATCCAATGCATTTACACAACATAAACATCAACACAGGCTTGATATAAACTTTTTTTTATTTTTTTGAATTTTTTTGTTTTACAAAGAATTCTTATTAAAATTATTAACTTTTTTTTGTATTTTTTTGTTTTATCTTTTTTTTTGTCCTGGAAAGCTCAAACGATGCCTCGTGGTGAAGTGTAACAACGCCCCGCCCGTCGTCTTTTGCTTCCCCACCCCCCCCCTCCCCGGTCAGTGCCACAAACGCGAGCCAGCAGTCTGCCCCTGCGGCGGAAGTGGTTGGACTGAGGTGGCTCGGCGAGGGATTGGCCCCGTGCCTTGGCTCGCAGTGTCTGCATAGTGGCGTCAGGAAGACACGATTCACCGCGTGGGGCCAGGCCACGCGGTCCACACGCTCTGCTGTTTGTTGTTGTTTTTTTTCCTCTTCAAATTTAGTTTCATCACAAGAGCGGCACGTAGAAAGTTCCCATTGCACTCTTGCAGCAGCAGCAGCAGCAAAAAAAAACAGTCCGTAAGGCTGCACATTTTTTTCGTTGCAGTTATTTTCGTTGCTGTTGCATATTATCGTTTTGAATTTCGTAACTTTTTTTTATAACGATGAACTCACACAAGTCCTGAAAAAGCAACAGCTGCCCAAGCACAACAGTTCAATCTGAGGAAATCGTTCCAAAGTCAGTTCTGTGCAACATTTCAAAATACAATCTCTCGTCTTTTGCAGTCTCTATATCCCATTTTCCTTTCCACCTCAAAGTGTTCGCGAGATATCGTGGCTTGCCGAGCTCCGGACAGTGACTTTTTTTTTTTTTGCCGATCGCTGAACCCGTCCGTTGTGGGGGCTTAACAAGTCTGCATAGACAAGCACAACGAAATGAAATTAAACTCAGTGGAAATAATAATATTAATTACGCTTTGCTTTCTGTGTCCAGGTCACGGTCTCGAGGACCCGCGTTTCCTTTCAACGCAGGCTCAGCGCTGCATTTTCAGTCTTTCGCTTTGCACACTCTTTAACGACCCATTGGCCAGCAGCACGGAATCCCAACGCAGTGTTCTGTGTGTTGTAGAATTGTCGCTGTAAAACAAGTAGCAGGTGTAACTTGTTCCAAAAAAGCAAAGATGACGACGGTGGTAGTCAGGGCAGGTGGGAAGCAGGTTTTCCTCTCAGCCAAACAGCTGCTTGGCTATGGGGTCTACCGAAGACGTCAGTGTCGGTCACAGGAAAGTCGATAGCGTTCGCTGCCAAACAGCTGTTTTGTTGGAAGGGGCGTCGGCTGCCGTGGTCCAATCAGCTGCTTGGGTGCGGAAAGTGCATCTGTTGCTGCGGATGTTGCACTGCTGCATTAAAACGAGGTCAAAGGGGGGGGGGGGGGAAACAGAAAATCAGCAGAATACCACAATCTACATCCTTTTGGACAGTTATTCTAAACTTATAATAGCAACACTTCTTAAACATACTGTATAAAGTGTAATTGAAAAACAGTAACTTGCCACAACATCGGTATTTTCAAATGCGGTACTTCAGAAAAATAAAATCTACGGGAAACAAAGTGGCAGCAGGACACAAGTACAAAAAGATCTTTACGTGCAGCCAGCACAAAACTCACAGGAAGCAAGACCATAGATAATTGCCTAACAATGTCTACCAGCGTGCTAAAGGTGTGGCCTTCATAAAGGTCCGTAAGCATGTAATCTCTTGGCCCAAAACTCAAGTTTAATTTTTTGTCAGAACTATGATATCCTCGTAGTACAATCATAAACATGGAAGTTCTCAATTAGTCCATGAGCCCAGATCAGATATTTCATTGGTTTGGTACTGAGCTGGCATGACTTCAGTGGTTCCAATGGTTTTATGTGGCAAATAACATTGCATTATGTCATAACTATTTCATTTAAGTGGGTTTTCAAATAATTCACTTATGCTTACAAAATTACATAGGTACAACTGAAGTTTTGCAAACTTAGGTGGTAGCAATTTATGCTCTGGCCCACGGGCTAAAAAAAACCAACGTAGCCGTTTTTCATCACTGTACAAGATTTATTATTTAACAGAGGCCAAAATACAAGACAAAAAGCGAGGTTACCGTCGAAACAGACCCTGACCTTGCGGCTGCAGAGTCATGTAGGCGTAGGGCGCCCCGGATGACACGGCCATGCTGGGCACGCCCGAAAGGGACATGGGGCCCTGGTGGGGGTGCGGGGGTCCTGGAGGGCCACCGTGGCCCGAGGATGACGGGTGCGCCGCCATCAGCATGACCGGCGCTGGGTGGGCAGCATGCGACTGTGGCGGGACAGGTGGCATGACGATGCGCAGTTATGCATGTATATATGTACGTGTGTTCAGGGACTCTTCTACTTACGAACATTCGACTTGCAAACTTTCAGAGATGCAAACAAACCTGTCCGCATGTCCAGTTGCCTGTTCGGACCGAGTAGTAAGTTCAACCGCCGCCCAATAGATGGCAGTGGTGGCATATACATCAGCAGAATGTGAAGAACCAGTGGTATCTTACATCTAAAGAAGAATATACAACTTTTAAAGCCATTCCCCGTGTTTAGTGTACATACCGTACAATATTCTTGGAATCATAGTTTAGTTTCATAGTTCATTTATTTGGTATAGCCTTGTGAGCCATTCGGCTCTTGAATCGGGTGCAACCGCAACAAACAAAAAAACAAAAACAGGAACAAGAAAACATCTTAAAGTGACTTTGTGCATGTGCAAACAGAAAATCCAGGAAAAAACATCAAAATATTCCTGAAATAGCACCATACACCAACGCTATGTGCAAAAATCCCAGTGTGATGCAAGTCAAACAACAACAACACTTAGATTAAGGCCATCAGTCTAACTCCGTACTACAATAAACAAAAACATGGCCAACCCAAAAAACTTTTAGAAATCACCAAAATAAACCCACAAATGCAATGTAACAGTGATCAAAGGAACTGTGACCGAATTTTTAATAATAAACTACATAAATAACATGTAACACCAAACCCTAGAGCCACAGCTGGCTGCATGAGTCACTCCACAAACAACAGGTGCATCAGTCGGAGTATCACATTTTTCAATGCACCTTTAAGATCAGCACACTAAATCAAAATACAGATAATACTTTGCAGCGGTCATCCGGAGCGAAACATTTAATTTTATTTTAGGCCACTGAATAGCAGTGGCAGCTAGGGGTGTACAACTCCTCTAGAGCAGTTTTGAGTGAAGATCTCATAGGTAGTGATTCAAGTTGCAGTTTATTGGCAATAACATTCCAGACCCTGGGGGCATCAATAGCAAAGGCCCTTCCTCCAGTTTTTGTACGGCAATAGGGAATGTGAAGCTGGTAGATGAGCGAAGACCTGAGGTCAAATTTGTTCTTTGAAACAGAGAGGAGATCCAGCAGGTAGTCTGCGGATTTTTGTGTAAGTACATCGTGAATAAATAAGATCTGGTGTACAAGCCGTCGAACATTAAGAGATGTTAAGTTTGACCCAATGTAGAGATCACAGTGGTGAGTCCTATATGGGCAGTTCAATGCAAATCTTAAGGCCGAGTGATAGATGGAATCAAGCTTCTTCAGTACAGTACTTGGGGCTGATTTATACACGATATCACAGTAATCAAGTAGAGGCAGTATGGTAGCTTTTATCAATTCCAAACGGAACATAGAATCGACAGGAGTAAAGTTGGACTAATGAATAAATCAACTAATGAACATATCAACTTACGAACAGATCACTGGAATCTAACTCGTTTGTAAGTAGAAGAGTGCCTGTATGGTGAACTTCTTTCGCACCATACGTAGCTAACCATGCTGATTGGAGGTGCGGGGAAGGACAACAAACTACGTGTGCTTACAGGGCTACAAATGTCACAGGCACGCACAAGCCTAGCAACTATGACCATTGTAATTAGTTTTTTTCATTTATTCTATTAATCTCTTGACTTTGTTTTTTTCCCTTAATTTAAAACTGGCAGCAAGAGCACATAACTACATCCAGTTATATGGAAGGGAAGGGCTCCTTTTTGCCTCATCTTGCACAACAAAGCACTGTACAATATTGACACCTGGTAAGGGGGAGGGGCACCTAGCCAATTAATCTCTAGATCCTTTGAACTTCCTCTCCATGTACATTTTATCTTTGAGCACTGGAAGCTATTTTCTTTAATCTACTGCAGTGCTACCAGCAGCAGTCGCAGATAGAAGCTGGGTTTTTTCATCCTTTAAGAGGAAAAGCTATGAACACAGGAGTATCCAGACAGCATATTCGAATCCCTCCTTTTATATATTCACCAAAGAGGTCTTGTCAACTTTGGCAGACAAATTTGCTCAGTATTTCTGCTCAATTCCCAAAATTGTCATCAACCCTGGGGAAAGTCCAAGTGCAATTACTTATTTTGATTTGAAGCTTTCGTGACTGCAGGAATCCATACTCTTTGGTTCTTTCGGTAAAGTCACGTAGGTCCCGCTTGTGTTGTGCCCGAAACGTAATGATTTAATTTATACCTACGTGACTTTACCGAAAAAACAAAGAGTATGCAATTACTTATATTCGCGAGTGCAGTGGTGGCACTGTGGTTCAGCACATTGTGTTATGATACCTGGCTACCCGAATTCGATTTGAGACATTCGTGGGTACCCTCTTCACCAACCTACAATGACCAGCGTGATGAATTATAGTCAAACAACTTCAATGAACCTAAAGGTGTGGGCAGACCTTCACCCAGCAGCGAATTGATAAAGCTACACATGATTTATTTACTTACATTTCTTCACTTACTTATTAGTAAAACTGTTTATTTTACCAGGTAAGTCCCACTGAGCTATGTAGCTCGTTTTCAGCAGCAACCTGGCCACAAATGATAGCTCAATGAAGTGGCTTATCATGTGGAAGTTCATTGCAGCCAAATACTCCAAACGCATGTGTCTAAATGTGGAGGGAAAAACCCGACGGACCCAGAAAAAAATCCACACGAGCCACGGGGAGAACATACAAACTCCAAATATACAGCAGGCGCCAGGGTCGGCATCGGACCCACAACGTTCTGTGTACCGGGCGAAGTAGTAAACATCTCGCATCTGCGGCGCCCGCAGTAAGTCCACAAGGCGGGCGATGTTACGCACCTGCGCGTTGGGCGGTAGCCCTGCGGGACTGGAGTAGCCGTGGTGTGGCGGATGGATCGTGTAGATGTGCTGGGGGTGCGCATGGGGGTGCGGGTAGCCACCCGGTTGTCCGTGAGGACCCGGACCCTGCGACACGAGCCCGCCTGGGTAGAGCCCCGCCGCCTGATGTTGCTGTGGGGCCCCCATGTGGGGGTGTTGGCCCCCCTGTGGCTTTACAAGGAAAAGCTATTGATCAGTGAAGAGCTGTATTCACAAACAAGCACACCGTAATGCCAAGTGGCCAGGCCACAGTTTATTTGAGAGATGCACGAACTGTTGGGAGGACTGTTGTGATTTGTCTTTAAAAAGGAAACAACGCATCTTTTTCGCAAAGTGGAACCCTATGGCACAACGAAAAACGCACAGGAAATGTGTTTGTGTATAAATTAAATATTATGTGATGAGGGGAGGAAATCAGGATTAGTGATGGTTTAGTGCAAAAACATCCAGTGTAAGTAAAACAATAAGTATGGTAAAAACGGTCCGTTTACATTATTCAAGATTACAACTTATGTGAAACTGTAATCCAGGCTAACATCCTTTTAAACACAAAAAAATCTAAAACAAAAAAGAACAGCTCCAAATGGTGTAATCACATTAATACAAACCTCAGTAGTTATTGTTCTGCTTGCCTGCATTACCACAGCTTTAAAATCATTGACATTCATGTTTGCCAGTGAGTGACTCAATCTGTGTAATGAAATTTGATGTTTCCATTAAACAAATCAATGCCAGGCAACTGCAGCAGTCTATCAATTCAATGTCAGCATGAACACGCGCACGGTGAGAGCGGGGGTGGGCGAGTGGGTGGCTGGGTGGGTGGCTGGGCGAGCGAGTGACGAGGCAAGTGGGGAGGGTGGAGCGGGCCAGGCGAGTGCCTGCACCTGGTACTTACTTGCATCGCGCTGGGCATCTGCTGCCCGCCTGGGTGTTGATTGGGTGCAGCGTGCGTTGGTGCCCCCTGCTGGGCGTGCGCCGTGAGTGCGTGCAGGGAACCGGGGTGTGGCGGGGGGTAGTGCTGGTGCACGGGCGCCGGTGACACTGGGCAAAAAGGGAGCGCGTTAAACCTCCACGACATCGACGGCGACGGACTTTGCTACCTGCGCTTTAAGCTCGTGACAGCTGCTTTACGTTGTTGGCTACGTACGGTGCGAAAGAAGTTCAACATATAAATGCAGACTTGCTTTTGATACACCAGTCAAATATTTTTTTTACAATAATACATTACTGCCAATCACTCGTGGGGATTGTTTGACCATGTTTCACCATGCTGGTCAGACCAACACGGTGTGGAGAGGCCTTCAACCAGCAGTGGATTCGGACACGGATGGAAATGCATGATTGAAAGTTATCACAAAATGTCGGCTGATTTTTAATAACTACTTTTAATGATCACATCACAAAACATTACGAATTGATTGAATTGAAAGTGAACAATTGCACACTATAGTCAGATCTGCCTTTCTAAACTGTCATATTTAAAAGGCCACAATCTTAACAGTGTCCATCATCAATAGCTCCCCCACATGAGAAAACCACAAATTTAAAACATCATTGCAGATTAAACGGGGATTTAAGATTGTAACTAAATGATGTCCTGCAGTTCCTGTGCATGACTGGGCATTACCACAGCTGTTTGGCAGCACGATTTAGCAAGGCCATCTGAGTAAGCAAGGCTGAGCGAGCGAGCCAGTACCGTGAGCCTTACCGTAAATGGTCTGTGGGGGCGGCGCCGACTCAGCATTGGGAGGGTATTGAGGGGATGACGAAGAGGGGGCCCCGACCAGGCCGGCCTGACCAGGCCCCATTTGGGGGGCCGCGAGCACTCGCGAGCCCCCCTGCATGAGAGGAGGGTAGACAGCCCCGGCCTGTCAGACACGGACACACACAAACACCATTGAGTACAAGACAAACCACTGAATTTGAACGCTTCGGTGAAAAGACTTTCATTTATTGTATGTGACAGCATAACGAGATGACGTCTTACATACCCTTTTTATATCAAGTGTTGAATAAAAGATTAATTGATGAGGTTTTTGCGTGGTCAATGGTGATCGAGGCTGAGAATTTTTTTTTAGAATGCAGCTTCATCACAATAAATGAATAGACCGCTCATATTTAAATCAAGGATTTCATTGATGTCATATTGTGACTCCTAAACGAGCATTGGTAAGTATGTCACGATGCAATGACTCATTAAAATGAGTTATAACATTCCAAACACATTAAACAAAAACCTGTGTGAGAATTTATTCTTTAAAAATTACACACTTATATGACAATGACATGATAATTTTAATATCCTAAACTGAACAAATATGTACAGACGAGTTACGACAAGAATCTAAATAATTGGTGAACAAAAGATTTAACTAATAAAAATCAACGCTTGAATCTAATAAAGAACCTAATCATAAAAATTCATAGAATCGCGAGTGGGGTGAAGTGTTACTTGCCTGAGCTCTCCTAAGCCACTCAATAGACTTATTTTCAGCTTCATGGATGCTATGCAGGCAACACTCAGTTACACATTCACACACGCAGCCAATCGGCACCTGATGCAGCGGCTGGTAGTGAAGCAGGTTGGGCTGGCTTGGGTAGTGCTGGGGGCTGTAGGGAATGAAGGCGTGGGAGTAGGAAGCTCCGAGCGGTGGAGCGGACACCGTGGCCATAGACACAGAGTGCAGGATGGCCTGGTTGCTCTGCGGGTGCGCGTGGTCAGACCGAATCTGAGGCATTGTCCCTGTTTGGGTCAGAGGTTAACAACAAGGGGGTGGGGCATGAGCAGGAAAGAATGTCGCTAGTGTTACACACTCATTCACACTTCATCCTCCCTCCACCCAGCTTTAATTCACTTACCCCCTTGTTCATTGAAACCATGTCAATCTGCAAGCATTACCTTTTGTTGGTCTGTACGGCTTGTGCTGGTTCAATGGCACTGGCACTTGATAGGCAGCCTGGAATAAACAATACATTTCATTTGCTATCATTTTTCATGTTAGTATTAGTCAGCATAGCTTATGCCATAACAACCAACACATACCCAAATACTACACAATGGCTGTCAAAGGGCAAAAGCCATAAGAGGAATGTGAAATACTCCAAACATGTAATGTCTTCGTTTTTTGCTCAATGTTGAGCTTCACTACCCATCTTGACCGAGAATGAGGGACCCATTCTCCAGTCATCTCCTTTTGGTCATCTAAAGCCATCCACCATGACTACACGCATCCTTTTAATGGCTGCTCATACCCAGAATTAGAAGCCACCACAGCTCAGCCTCAAACCCAGCCCACAAGTCGCCCATCACTAACAAGCTCATTCCATGGATCTCGCCGCCTGTCCCTTCACATCCGAGACATGATGCCCCCAGTGACATGTCGCTGCACCGCTAATCCCCCCCCAAAAAAGTTTTATTTTACCAGGTAGGGCCCACTGAACTATATAGCTCTTTTTCAGAAGTGACCTGGCCACAAATAAAAGCTCAACAAAATGGCTTATTACGTGGAAATTTATCGTAGCCAAATACTCTGAAACGCGCATTTCTAAATGTGGATAGAAAAACTGGAGGACACGGGGAAAAATCCACAAGACCACATGGGGAGAGAACATGCAAACTTCAAATATACAAGTGTCAGTGGTCGGAACCAAATCCACAACCTTCTGTATACCAAGCGAGGTAGTTAACATCTCACCACCGTGGCACCCTAAATGCCCTTGATATCAACATCTAAGCAAAATTGAGCCTGGCTAGCATTTGGATAGGAGGCTTCCTGAGAATCCTAGGTAGATATTGTAGACTGTGCTGCGAGTTGGCCAAGCAATGGGAGCACAATGGGATTGTTGAATGTACCTGTGCGGAGCTTTGAGAGTTACTTTGTAGGCATGGTGATTGTTTTCCCCCGCTACTATGGTTTCCTCCCCACACAAAAGCCTAAACATTCAATCGTGGAATTGTCCAAAAGGCATTCCAAACCAGGGCACCCCTTGAACAAGTCCATAGGACTCAGTGAGGCTTTCATGGTTAAATATAGGGGCATCATTCCTATAAGCCCACACACGCAGCCTACCCATTCTGGCTCGAATTGCGTGCAAAGCGCTGTACCGGCACTTGGTTGATGGGGATGACGGGCGGGTAGGCAGCCAGGGGCTGGGGGGTGTAGAGCGGTCCTTGTGGCGCTGGCATGATCACAGAGGGGCTCGCCTGCTGTGGGCGGGGAGGGGTTGGCGTAGGCACCGGCTTCACCTGTAAAGTGACGAGAGTGAGATTGCTTACCCGGAGTAACAGCCACATTTGTCGTTAGAATGTGTCAAGATGGGAACTGTATTGCTTCATTGCAATGGACAAATTGTAAATTGTAATGCATCGCAATGGGGCAATCGTGAGGCAATTCTACAAAAGCCAAAATGTAAATTATAATGTTGCACTACAAGTAGATTGTGAATTATGATTGCTAGAATGAACAAACCAGTCAAATTAAATGTGTTACAACGGTTGCAAATTGATAATTACAATGCACACATATAGATTCACATTAGTGCAGAATTGAGTGCATGATATCAAAGGTTTATGTTTTTTTTTGCAAATCGGTCAGAAAATCTTCCTGCTTTTACCATGGGAATGAAAGGCTTGGCACTTGGGTTCAACACAAACTCCTTGGCATTAGGATTTAGGTTGGACTTCTTCGAACTGAACACACAATCAGAAAGAAAAAAACAAATCGGGGGGAAACCATTAAATTGTCCCGAGCTGTGTAAGCACAAGATGACAATTATTAAATGCATATAAAACTTGGTCTGATGAAAGCAAAAATAACACTGCTTACTCTGTGGCATCCGATTCCCCTTTGTCTTTACTGCTTTCAACATCTGCTTTTGGCGTGGACTCGGAGATCACATTCGGTCCTTCTGACCCCGGTTTAGTGGCCGTGACCTCACCGCCAGTACCCAAGCTGGCAACTGCTTGTGGCACAGCACTTCCTGCAGTCTGGCTGCCACTGTTGGCTGCCTGCGTGGACGCTGGCGTGTCGGTGGTCTGCGTGCCGGTGCTGCACTCGGCCGCCACCTCGGCACCGTCTCCCTTTGATTTGTCCCTGGTGGAACGCTCTTCCTGTGGGCCTGGCTCCGCCTGGTTTAGATTTAGCTGCAGGACACAGGAGCGCAAGCGATGCAAAGCATTCGATGCGGAATCCATGAGCAAATTTCACATCAACGTTGAGCTGGGAAACATGCGGGATGCTTATTAAGTAATGATAGATCCAGCATGATAGGGTTTAAACTCACCTTGAATTCGGCACTAAATCTCTTAAGCTCTTCAATTGGGTTTTTCTTTGCCTCCAGCACGGACTGGTATGGGACTGGTGGAGATAACAAATAAAGTAATAAAATTCACCAACAAAAACCCAATGAAATAATATTACGGTATTCAGTTGAGCACAACACAAACTAGTGTGGCATATTATAGAAATGGTGTAAGTGAAGAGGCAAAAGGGTGTTGAATTTGCAGACAATCACAAACTACTGAAAAACAGACAACAGCCTAGCAGGGTTTCTGACCTTTGTAAGTTTTACCTCTAACAGGTACAGCACTCGGCGCTCGTTGCAAGATGGGCTGAGCAGCGCCAGGCGCCCGGGCTTGCTGCTGATCTGCAATCATGTTTTGTGGGCCTTGTTCCACATGAATACTGGTTTCTTTGCCTGAAATCGCAGAAACAAAACCACCTGCACCATCTTCAGTGACGCACACAAAGAAATGTATTTCAAACGGTGGGTGAGGCTCAAACATTCTAATGAAGGCCACCGCTACCGTATAACTTAATTAAGCTGTAACCACGTTGCATAATTCATTTTAAAAAGTAAATTACTATTACATGCATAGGAAATTTATTTTTACGATGAAAGATTATTTTGGCAAATTGCGGAGGATTTTAAAACGCTATTAAGTGATCAGCGTTTGATAAAGTATCCTTCATTTTATTTTTCAACCAATGAAGTAACATAAAAAAAGCCTTGTTATGTAACCATTTTCAGGTTTTCCCAGGCCTGGCCGAAGCACCACAGTTAAGTATGACATGATAGCAGGAGGGGCGAGTGAGAAGGGGGTTATCCAACCAGTGCTCCGTTACTCCTTCCCCCACCCTTCCCAAGCCTAGCGTTCCAGAACTTCCACCCCCCTCCCAAAAAGATTCCACAAAGCATTCCAGGGTATTCCTATACCTTCTGCCGAGGAAGGCTGCGGCTGACAAGCTGACTCAGCACCAGAAGTCATTCCAGATGACGTGGTTGGAGCAGCTGACAGCACGGCACCGCGCGGAATGCTCAACCCTGTAACTGGGACGGAGGCGGTTGGCTGCTGAAAAGCAGCGGTGGTGACGACCGTAGCGGCAGCAGCAGCCATTGCAGCGGGCGCCTGAGCTGCGGCGACGATTGTGTTGGCAGGCGCGGTCGCCGGCGAGGCGACAAGATGAACGTCGGGGACCTTGGAGGCGCTGGGTGGAGCGTGGGCGGCTGCAGCCACAGCCGCCACCCCCTGCTGGGCCGCGAGCGCTCCTGCCTGAGCAGAGGATGGTTGAGGAACTCCCGGCGGGGGCACGGAGACCCAAGCCACAGGCTGCGGCATCCCCGGCGCCGGCTGAATGGCCGTCACAGGGAGGGGCTGTGGCTGGGCATGGCCAGCGCCTGCCGCGCCAAAGGCCTGCACGCCGGCCGGTGCACCCACCATCAGGCCAGGCGGCGTGGAGAGCTCCTGACCTGGTTTGGGAGACTGCGTCACCTGGGATCGGATGGCCCCTCTGCCCGCTGCAAAGGGAAATGGGGAGCGTTGATAAAAAAGATATACATCACAAAGTGATATTGGCTGTTTTCTTTAAAACAGTACTTCCTCTAACTGTGCCGTCTGTGTTACACTCATTCTGAAATTCTATAAAAGCTTTTCTGTTACACTTAGCAGGAATGTGCAACCCAGGAGAAGTGCACGAAGAGAGTTGGTTGCCTCCCAAGGAATAAGTGAGCAATTATTCTCAACCAGCCAAGCAAATTTATAAATTCCATTTTTCTTACAAACACATTGTGGTCACGATTTGCCAGTCAAATCCACTCAATATCTCGATTTTCCGTAACGCTCTTCCTGTTGTTGTTTCAAAGAAAGAAAATATCATCACGAAAAAAAGACATGACGGCGATGGACATTGATTTAGCGTCTCGGGATGTCGATTTGGCTCAGCGTTAACACTCCTGGGAGAACAAAAAAAACAAGACGGTGACGTTTCGGCATGGACACCCTCACCTCCATTCAGAGCACGGTGATCCAGACCGGGGCTGGGGCTGGGCTCGGGGTAGCGGTAACCGCCGCGGCTCGGCTGTGGCCCCGCTCCTTGCCGACCGAACTTGGGAGAGTTCTGTCGGCCACCCCCACGGCCCAGTGGACCTGAGCGCTGACCAGGGGGAACGTACCTCCCCCTGAGCACAGACAGCGGCCTTGCAGGTCAGATTCACTGCTCAAACGGACTGGCTCATACGATTTTTCATGAGAGTAAGGCCATCATCATGCATTTCAGTTTTATAATAAAATAGTAAGGTGGGAGCTTCTTCAGGAACTGAATTAAGTTCTTGAATAAAAATGTCAGCGAAGTGGAGCACAAAGTTTGACATCATACAACCAGAAAACCGCAGGCTGTAGTAATGGGCTGTGAGGTGGCCAGGAAATTGTAATACAGCAAAGGAGTCTTGATGGAATCTGTGTGGAGCTTTGAGTGTTACTACATTGTGTGGGTTTTCTCCACGTACTCTGATTTCCTCCCAAAGATACAATACTTCTGGATATTAGCTAAAAGTCCCGATGAATGCAGGACCCTACTGCAAAAAGTCTTGAAACTCAAAGATTCCTTCCAATTGCCAAAATTTAAGAAATGATTTTTTTTACCTTATTATTACCGTATCATTTGGTCTCGTTCATTCCATTTGCCAAATATACCATTTAATTATGTGGATACATCAAACATTAAATTCACACACAAGATTTAATGCATGTAACGGGGGCCTGAATACATTTTAATGATGAAAACATTAATGGCTAATTACCTCGTGTGCATGGCACCGCTAATGTCCTGGCAAAACAGTGCGGTGTAGAATTTACCACGATATTTTCCAATGATAACGCTCTCCTCCTCGATCCACACTTACAACTCCACCTCTCCATCGAGCCCTGACCTGGTGTAGAGGGTGGGGCCATCCCGGTCAGGCTGCTGCTGCTGCTGCCGGCGCTGCACGGAACTGAAGCGGTCCTCCTCTGTGCGGCCATCGTCGTTCTCGAGCGCCGCGTGCGTACGGTACTGCGGGCTCGACTCGATCTCGCGTGCAAGTTGCTCTGCACGCGCCTCTCGTTTCTGGAACTCCTCCGAGCTGTCTTTGTCGAGGCGCGTCCTGGACGGTATCAAGCATCGGGGGCGGGGGCTATCAGCGGGGCGCCCGCCCGTGCACGGAGCCGTTTGCGACGTCACAAGGGCGACTGGTTCATTTTATGAGGGCCTGGACACTGCTCGAGTAAAGCTTGGCAATGTCTTCAGCCAAATGTAATTTGGAGCATAAAAATGTATTTGCAATTGTGACAATTTCCCTTGTTAGGTAGGCATTTTCAATGTCTACTGACCAAAGTAATCAGGATTGGTATGAAAAAAATCACCCCTATATCTGTTGCACGTAAATCTTGGTCCCCAGCTCCCAGGAGTTCTGCTTCCAATAGATAACATTTTCCAGTAAATATATTCAGAAAAAAACTGAATTGGCTTCCAGTGAAAAAAATTCATAGATTTTTGTCTTCACACAGATGTTTAAGGTCATCCATGGACTTGGGAAATGTGCTAAACTCAATGAACCCTTAACCTTCCACAACTTTTGGCACTATAATAATCTGACATCCATCTCCTGGTATTCTCACCGATCAGTTGCGCTCGTGATGTTGACAGCTTTTGTCAAAATAAGCGCCAACATTACAGAATCATGCTCCATGACTTTGTTTGCATGTTATTGATAATTTCGCGTGGAAATATCCCTCAAGATGTAACATCTCGTTTGCAAGGGTGTCCAAATATGGTCATGCCCTTCTGTGGGTTTAAGTCACGTCTCAAAACATGACTCGTAAGGAGTTGTCTAAATAAACATGGATTATGTAAAAGATAATTTTTGGTAAACAATTTAATATATTATTATTTGGATGTATGATATATAGCATTATAACATTTCTCCTCACCTAAAAGAGTCCAAATATGTTCCAATGTATTTCCCTCTGGTTTGACAAGGTTTACACCATAGTGCATATGTTGTACGTAGCAACAGTCATATCCACAAGGCATCATACGTTTGTACAAAGTAACTCTTAGCACCCTCTGCTTCTGCATGTACCAAGCTAGTGCCACAGCTGTTGGAACCGAAACTGCTGTGGACTGAAGGCTGTGGTTTATGTGCAAGAGGCTTCCTCATGCAATATAGCTTTTGGGGGTTATTAAACCAGTTTACCAAACTGGGCAGTGCATGTTGAAGGCGCGGTGCATATATGATGGAGCACAGTACTTCGTTACAACTGATTTTACTGTGATGCCCTCTGCTGATAAGATGATAATGGGTGGAAAGCAAGTCAGTTTAATCACCCATTTTGAATGATTGAGGAATCCTTCGATGACAAAGGTCTTTCCTTAATATTTATACATCTAGTAAATAGGTCTGCTAATTTTGTTTCAACAACTGTTACACCCTTTAGTCTAGGTTTCCCTCTTTCCATACTGTGAAGGTGCATATTTTTTGTTCAAGTATGACATGTGGAACTTTCCCGTCTTCGTCTAAAAATGGTTGGATACCTGGCACATATGATTTTTTGTTGATAGATTTCTGCATAAAATGCCTTCACTCGTTGTAAGATTATATCTCTATCATGTGTTGCAATTCCGTTGCACGATTTGTTGTTTTCTATGACCTCTTCAAATATTGGTCTTTGCCAGAATTATGCTCAGTCCCGACTGTTCTAATGGTGACTGCTTGATCTATGCTAATATTCAATCAAGATTTGACTCATGCAATTTCCATCTTCAAAATAATCTTGCATGTAGGGTCCATGCTACACTGGCTAGCTGTGCAACATAGAATTATTAAAAACATTGTAGCAACCTTAAAAAGACTTGAGACCGTGTTACCTTTCAAAACTGGCGATTCTCTATGTTATTATCCACAAGTTTCATTCTACAGAGGGCAGACTGCTAATCCCTTGAGTTTAACAAATATCTCAGGGAAAGATTGTTTTTTTTCATTTATAATCATTAAAGGTATCACTCACTTGCGCCATGCTAATAAGGAACAAACTCTAGCAATGGTCTGAAGACATTATTTTTAATCAATATATTCTTAACTGCTTAGGATGCGTGGGTTTTATCTGTTTTATTTTATAATAATTCGCCATTTTTATATATTTAATTGCCTTGATTAACAGCAGTAGTTTTGTTTTTTGCACTTCAACCAGAAGAGTAAATTCAGACAACTTGTTTAAAAAGGTACTTGTAAGCTTGTTTATATTTTTAGGGTCATTTTATAAAAAGGTGTCTCCGGTGACTCTAAGCTTCAAGTAATTCCAATGAATACTGTTATGCTTTTCATTTGCAGATATAAATTCTCATCATCTTAACGAGCTGAAAGCCCGTTGAGATGACATCGCTTCTGGAAGGTATACTTGATTTTTTTGTATTCTTATAATCGTCATTGACCATACTACTGGATTAAAGGTCTGTCCAAGATGTGCTGAGATGCATCAATGTGCCAATTTCCATTCTTACACTATAAGTAAAATGTTTGGTGTCTAATACTGCATACTAAATAAAACAACTCTCTTATATGTTGGAAGGCAACCTTTATTAGCGACCAAGTGAGAAACAAGTCTAATGTAACATGTGCGTGTGAATACAGTGAGGGAAAAAAGTATTTTATCCCCTGCTGATTTTGTATGTTTGCCCACTGACAAAGAAATTATGAGTCTATCATTTTAATGGTAGGTTTATTTGAACAGTGAGAGACAGAATAACAAAAAAATCCTGAAAAACGTATGTCAAAAATGTTATAAATTGATTTGGATTTTAATGAGGGAAATAAGTATTTGACCCCTCTGCAAAACATGACTTAGTACTTGGTGGCAAAACCCTTGTTGGCAATCACAGAGGTCAGACGTTTCTTGTAGTTGGCCACCAGGTTTGCACACATCTCAGGAGGGATTTTGTCCCACTCCTCTTTGCATATCTTCTCCAAGACATTAAGGTTTCGAGGCTGACGTTTGGCAACTCGAACCTTCAGCTCCCTCCACAGATTTACTATGGGATTAAGGTCTGGAGACTGGCTAGGCCACTGCAGGACCTTAATGTGCTTCTTCCTGAGCCACTCCTTTGTTGCCTTGGCCGTGTGTGTTGGGTCATTGTCATGCTGGAATACCCATCCACGACTCATTTTCAATGCCCTGGCTGAGGGAAGGAGGTTCTCACCCAAGATGTGACGGTACATGGCCCCGTCCATTGTCCCTTTGATGCGGTGAAGTTGTCCTGTCCCCTTAGCAGAAAAACACCCCCAAAGCATGTTTCCACCTCCATATTTGACGGTGGGGATGGTGTTCTTGGGGTCATAGGCAACATTCCTCCTCCTCCAAACACGGCGAGTTGAGTTGATGCCAAAGAGCTCCATTTTGGTCTCATCTGACCACAACACTTTCACCCAGTTGTCCTCTGAATCATTCAGAAGCTCATTCGCAAACTTCAGACGGACATGTATATGTGCTTTCTTGAGCAGGGGGACCTTGCGAGCGCTGCAGGATTTCAGTCCTTCACGGCGTAGTGTGTTACCGATTGTTTTCTTGGTGACTATGGTCCCAGCTGCCTTGAGATCATTGACAAGATCCTCCCGTATAGTTCTGGGCTGATTCCTCACCGTTCTCATGATCATTGCAACTCCACGAGGTGTGATCTTGCATGGAGCCCCAGGCCAAGGGAGATTGACAATGGTCTTGTAGCCCATTCCAACCGTGTGTAGGTCTACAATCTTGTCCCTGACATCCTTGGAGAGCTCTTTGGTCTTGGCCATGGTGGAGAGTTTGGAATCTGATTGATTGCGTCTGTGGACAGGTGTCTTTTATACAGGTAACAAGCTGAGATTAGGAGCACTCCCTTTAAGAGTGTCCTCCTAATCTCAGCTCGTTACCTGTATAAAAGACACCTGGGAGCCAGAAATCTTTATAATTGAGAGGGGGTCAAATACTTATTTCCCTCATTAAAATGCAAATCATTTTATAAATTTTTTGACATGCGTTTTTCTGGATTTTTTTGTTATTCTGTCTCTCACTGTTCAAATAAACCTACCATTAAAATTATATAGTGATCAATTTTTTTTGTCAGTGGGCAAACGTACAAAATCAGCAGGGGATCAATTACGTTTTCCCCTGACTGTATATTCGTAGATTTTTTTTCGCCAAAAATAAAGTGTTGGGTCTCACGTTGCTGGGGAGCTGCGAGCAACAGACCATCTCTTGCGTGCATGCCACCGCCTTCATGAGAAGAGCCCCATGGCGGGGAATCGTCACAGCTTAAGTTCTCGCTGCTTAGTGTTTGGCATGGAGTATAGGGGTACAGTGGACCCATCCCCAACTGAACTTGTAATCCAGAGCCACAAGCAGCCCATTACAAATGAGTGCCAACTGCCTGGCTTCTAAACCTATTATTATCCGGTCATTTGTTTTCTTGTTTGTTTTAGTGTGAGGGGACTTTAGGTTGTGTAATTGTACAAATTACTCTGTTCACACCTGAGGTTATTTTATTCGCAAAAAAAAACCCAAGGCATTCCCCTGTTCCAGACACAATACCATGTGGTAGACACGCATAATTTGGAAACTGCATGCACATGTTACCTGTGACATTTGATATTTGTTGTCTATGGGTAAAGACAAAAAATAACAATGCAAAAGAAATGTAGATACATGAAGCATTCTAAAAATAACTGCATATGCCAACACTTGATTGTACGAATAGACAGCACAAGTATTACCCGCGGACAAAAGCAGAGACGAAATTGAGAGAGATTCCCAAATTCCCCCTCCCCCTTTATGCACATTTCCCCTGCGTGCAGAGGCGACGTACAAATGCCATGGACGAGCACGTGGCTCCCACGGGGCCCCGTGGCAGCACTGAAGACTGCGACTGCCAGTTCGGATTTGTTCACAACCGACGATGAATAGAATTAGCACAGCGAGACGCGGCACGGAGGCGGGTGCGTTCAGGGACGGGTAAGGATACAAAAATCTTGAGTCTGGTGTACAGTGCAGCTAACATGGGACTCAAAAACGCAAATATGCTTTTCAATTATTTATGGCTTGTCTGACCACAGTAATTAACCCCCCCCCGTGTCCAACCAACACTCACGTGTAGTTGGCGAGGCTGCTATCGTACGTTGACTTGACGCCGTAGTTCTCCTCGTTGTAGCGAAACATCTCATTGGGATCCCAGCCGTTTGACTGCACAAAATGATAGAATGTAGAGTTGTTACTTGTACCACTGGTTGAGATAGAATCAGTGTGTTTGTATACGTACATATAAGTTGCACAAAAGTACATACCATCACACGTACACACACGATTTCCAAAAATATTCTCTCAATGTGTAATGCGTATATAATAAACTCATGATGGGGGCTTCAAAACCTAATAATCAGTGAAATGTAGTTGTAAAATCATATTCTCTATTTTTATTTAGTCTTTATATACTGTACGATAACGGAATCGTTTTCTTATGAATTAAAAATGTACATACACTACAGATGCTGACTGGGTGACTTAGGGATGAGGGAATACTATTTAGTAAGTGATGAAACCTCAATATTTTCTAATTTCCTCATTTTAGACCAAATATGAAGTGCCAATTTCAAGAGGCAGTGAACACAATCAGTCTGGCTTACACCTACAAAAAACAAGATTGGATAAAAAAAACAATTGTATTACTCGTGCAAAATATATTCATGAATACTGCCCTCCCATTTTTAAAAAAAGTTAAATGATCGTGTATCGAATATCACAACAAAAGCACCTACAACACTTTTAATCAGTTCTTGTGAATTTTCTGGTACAACCACGAGACAAAAACACAATTTGAAAATGCTTAATGGTTACCGACGAAGGTGATTAAAATAATTAAAACAATCATCCCTATCAAGGAAGCAACAGGAATTGTATAATCCCATTACATTTTAGTCAAGGTGCCTCAAAGACAACATTGTATATGAAGTCATGCTTCACCAGTGATGGACGGGTGCAACGAATTATATTTGCAGTTATGAAATTTAGTTATTACAATGAATGATTTTATGTTCATGATGTACTTTAATTGTTTCACTTGAATCTGCTTGCAATTTAGCTATTTGAACCCAGGTTTCCATTGAAAACGAGACTTCCGGTCTCAACTGGCTCTTCATCATCGTCCATGATTAATCCACTGCTGGCTGAAGGCCTCACCAACCTTTGACATCTCCCACGGGGACCCACGATGCCAACAATCCACCCAGCACGTGCACACGAGCCGATCTCATTGCTTCCAGTCCACGGAGCATTTTCCCTTGGGCATGTTCCCTCCCTTTGGATGCCACTCAGTAATGGTTATTGCCCACGGGCCATAATCCCTCTCTAGTAATGTGTCTTGCCCATGTCCACTAGCATTCCTCAACACTAAACATTATATCATTACACTCTTAATCTGATAAATGAATCGGTTAGGTGCGAGTGTGAGTGAGCACAGCACATGCTGGCATTGGGCGCCCACGCTAACCATGTCGGTGTCAAGCGAGCTCATGTCGTCTCCAGCACCATCCCCTCCCTGCCAGGGCTCCAGCTCCCGCTCCCGGTGCTCTCCGTTCACCCGTCTCACAATCACGCTGTCAGTGAAGCCATCTGCAGACACAGGCCATGCCGTCACCGAAAGCCACGTTTTTGTTTCGCACGCTCAAGCAGCTTAACAACTGCCGCAGAGGGCCCGACTGCTGAGGCTATACCTGCGGTGTCGAGGCACTCTCAGATCATGTGGCAGCTCAATTATAATTTTTTCATTTTACTGTTTCTGAACAGCGTCTTGAGATGGTGTAACAAATCTAAAATGTTATCACGGTGCCTTTTAGTCGAATTAAGTTGTGCATGGATTTACATTAAATGTCAACGTAAAAAATAGCTATTATCGTGCCAATACATACGTATGTTGTGTTGTGATGTCATATTGCCGTCACGAATGTGCTATAACAGCATGGCTGAAGGTAAATTAAGTATTTTTTTCTCTCATTAATGAACATTTAATATATAGTCAGGTAGCCTTGAATATACAACCTAGATATGTATCCACAACATAAAACCTACTTATTGCGTTTTCCTTGATGACATTGTTCAATTAGTTGGTAAATACATTTTCAAGTTTATTTGATTAAAAGCAATGCTTGCATAATGCCACGTACAGTCCGGAATCAGCACACTTGTAAATGGCTTAGCATCTGCAATTAGTGCCAAGTGGCACCTATATCCCATAATCATGCGATCTGTAAACCCCAGCGAGACTACTAACGAGAAAACTTCATATTGTCCAGCCGTGATCAAGCTTTAAAAGGAATCCTGCTGTTTAGCCGCAGAAATTATCAATACAACATCAGGTTTGCTGAGAGTCAAAAAGATGTTAAACAACAAACGGCTGTGGTAAAAATCAATGAACTTGATCATCTGACTAACATAACATCTGCCTGTTCAGATTTTTTTAAGTGACAACAGAACCCACGATAACATTCTGAACCATAAAACTCAGAAAGGACAGCATTATTATAATGCTCAACTCCACAACTGTATCACTAGGTGGGGAGAAAATGCTTATAACACTAAATCTATTCATCACAGAAATAAGAACAAATGATATTATACTAAAATTTCTAAAATTGGACAAACCTTATAGCATTAACCTATGCTGTTTAATGGGAAGTCAATCAAATATAACACTGTAATCCAATTCCTAAAATTTTGAAGATTTAAAGATATAATTTTAATAACATTGGCCACTTAATTAAACTTCATTTTTCCAAAAGGTAATTTGCCAACGGCAGTTAAAGGCTAATAAAAACATAGTTTATAAGTAAAATAAATTGGCTAATTCAGAAAATAAATTTCAAATTTCCCTTCCCAAATAAGTGATGCAATTTTAGTCCTTGTGCATGCTGACCAACATAGTCTGCATAGTTAGGTGTAAGGTATTATTTTTCATCATCGCCCCTATACTACAAAAGACTAATGGTAACATTAGGCTGCTCTTTGGGGGGGGGGGGGGTACTGTAAGGAAGTGAAAAATCTGCAACATTTCAAGTGGTTTAACCAACCACCATTCACGTTCATGAAATATGAGAGACTTTCAATGTATTGCATGTTATCCATTAAAATAATACTGAAAATATACTCTTTTGTGTTTTATTTTGAGGTTGCTTCATTGCATTAACTACTGTCGACTAGATCTCTATTAACGTGCGTGACTGCCCGATAGATCTTAATCCAAGTGAATATTTTTTAATGATCTCAATGAAAGAGAATAGTGCTTGTCGGAAGCTAACTTAGCAAACTGGTTTTGATAGATGACGTTTAATACGTCTCAATGAAAGTGAAAAATCTCCCTAAAATATCTCAATGGATATGAATTATGAGATCCCCTCGTATACATCTCAATGAAATCGACTGATGATCAATTTAATTGCCTTGAGGTATTTTTACAAGAACATAAAAATATTCAGAGCAACTGACTTCACTCATCCCCTCCTGTAAACACACATTAGCACAATTTTTCAAAATGTAATAAAGTATAATGCATGCACAAAACAAGTTAATTATCTTTGATGTAAATAGGGCTAATGATTTTGACATGTTTATTGTTTACCAACTCTGATTTAATTAATGATGCTGATTTTAGGTTGCAATTTCATTCGATAATCAATTTTTCTTAATTTCTCATCCATATTACCTCATTATTCATCTCATATGTATGGTATGTAGCATGAGAATATAATACACATATCATAAATACTTTATTATTACATGCCCAACTCAATGCACGCATGTATCATGAGTGAAATAATGTATTTTGAGTGAAGAATCGATACATCGTTGGACATGTAGAACCTTTTTGCAAATCCACTGCTGGACAAGAGCTCTCTCAGATCGTGTGGTTATTTGACCAGCACAGATTGGTGAAGGTGGGGCGCACCATACAGTGCATAAATGATGTTGCTGCACTGCTGTTGGCTGCCCACCACGTAGCCCATTACACGCTTACCAATGACACTGCATCGGTGCTGGCTTTGACAACACTAATAAAAAGTGAATGGCGGCAAGTCAATACGTTACATTTAAGGTTTTTTTTCTTTTGCAGGCATTCACTGCCTCCCTCAAGAGTCTCTTCCTGTCAAAGTGAGCCAAGTGCAAGTAGAGAAGACACGCACCTCGCGTGGCATAGTTTAGGTCCACGTCCTTGTACTGCACCAACACCACGTCGCTCGGGCTGAAGATCATCGTGTTGACGATCTCCTCACTCTTGGGGCCCGACTGCGTTGAGTCGGCACTTTGCTGATGCGCCGCGTCGAGCACCACCTCGTACTGACGGCGCCAAACACAAACATTCCCGCGTGGTTAGGCGTGCCACAAATTCATGTTTTCAGCATCACGTTGATGATCATTTTCCTGCGTAGCAACTAAAACTGGTATTAGTACCAGCTGCCTTTTTGTTGGTGGTCTTGGATTTATTTAAAAAAAATTAAGAGTCCATTAATTTCCACATTACAAACGGCCTGCATAATTGACAGTCATAGATTTGCTAAGGTTTCAAAAAAATTTGTCACAATGCCAATGTACAGTGACGACAAATGTACCAACTGTAGTTTCTGACTCGCTGTATAAACATCTGCTTTAATAAAAGGCTTGATCCTTCTGGATTTTCAATTGTCCTGGAAATCTCTCCCAATTGCCAAAGTTGGCAAAAATTATTGTGCCCTCCAGCATTGCAATGAAAAAGAAACGATTTGGTCTGAATAGTTTGGGAGTGACAACATGCTGATAGCAGTATAAATGCACAAAAGCCAACATTAGCAGTTCCACAACGATTGCCCAGACCTTTCCAAAGCTTTAGAAGCTTTTGTATGCATGACTATTCTTTGCAATCTCTCCCCATGCAACATACCTTCGGTCCGTAGGTTCGGAAAATTCCTTCAAATACTTTCCCACTTTTCACGAGCAATTCACATCTGGCACCCTGTCGAGGAACACACGTGCATATTAAACTAAACCAACAAGCGGCATGTATAAGGATCTTGTCTGTTGATTAAAAAAAGCAAAATTTATGCAGCATGAAGTAAATTATATAATTTCCAACCTCAGGTAGCAAAAAGAACCCATGTTCAAGCAACCAAATGTAATAAGTACATTAGACCACGCTTACCACAACAGAGGTCAACACGTGAACCATTCTGGGATTCATATAGGCCCCTTCCTGAAAGCGAGAAATGCATAAAAAAAGTGTTACATTGCTGGTATTGCATGGGGATAATGAAAATATAAGAAATAAATGTTTTGTACAAATTCCTGGTGGAACCACACATTTTCAATGCTTTTCCCTGCGCATTACAGCATGGGCTCCCAAATACTGCAATCCATATAATTTCAAGGGAAATGTAACTCGAGAAATAAGGAGCACTTATGCTGTAGATACAAAACTAGGTGGTTGTGTGTCTCGAGATGTTCAACACGAGTTTGCATCTTCGCTAACGCAAAACAAACATTAACATCATTTCATTATCAGGCACGCAATCGTGATGTGATTGCAGCAACATCCACCCCTTTTGCTTGCTGGTACAACTAGAGTGATGTACAAAGAGCACTAATGACAATTAAGCTTCAAACTTGTGTCGGATAGTAAAGGACAATGCCCAGGTACATATCTACAAGCAATATTGCACCTTCATTTAAGACACGGTGGCAACACCTGAGCCTCCAACCAAATCATCCAGAATCCGCCCAATTTCATCACACCTCAAACTAAGCAGGGTTAGGGCCTGGATAATGCATGGATGATGACAATGCATAAAAAACAGGTGTAGGAGGTACTGTTCGCAGTAGAGGGCAGTGCAAGAAAATCCATTATTGCTCTGTAGTACCCCCACCATCTTCACCAACTTACACTGAACAGTGCCGTTGAGTATGGCCAAATCACCCTTATGGCCCACACAGCAAGGGGAAGGACTTGATCCAGCAGTGGATTGACAAACGGGCTGTACGTGCCAGCACTTGAGATGCCTATAGGATTCCTTTCTTAAATCTTTTGAGCCCATGAGTAGTATTATGCACCAGAAAACACCACGTAGCCAGGCAACCTGGGCCTACTGAGGCCAACCACCAAGGGTTCAACAGTTAGATTCCCACTGCAGTAAGAGCATTACTGCTTTTGAGTTTGTTAAATCAAGCATCAAAGATCCTAAGATGTCATCTCCTTTAATGGTGAGTGAGGTTACAGACTTCCCTTCACAAGCATCAATGCATCTCAATAAGGCCTCCCATAAGTAAATTTCAATGAATTTTAATGAGGGGTTGCCACTCACCAGAACGTGCGAGGGTGTGGAGTTCCTCACAGCTGGGCGGCCCCTAGAAGAGAAAAAAATATTTATTTTAAACATTTCACAAATATTACAATAAAAAACACAATATACTAATGATGTATTGAAAGCAATAATGGCCACCTTCCGCTGCATCGCTCTCCATAGAACATGTAAGACCTAAATGAAGGTGTGTATCATTCAGACATGTATTAATCTTAACTACAGGTTTCACGAACACCGGCACAGTCTTGGAGCAACAGAAGCAGCAGCTGCATATGCAGGTTACCCAAATGGTGAATGGTGCGCTTCAGGGGATGTATATAAAAGTGGAGGCACGCAGAAAGGCAATACATCCTCTGCCGAGCGTGGAAACAGTTCAAGGGAGAAAATGGAGATTGGGAACTGTCTATCGGGATTGGTAGCCACCTACAGAAAATTATCAGTTGCCGAGTGCTCGGCATGTTTGTTAGACCAAGGCAATGGAGAACGTGCAAGCAGGCTGGCCCGCGGAGCTCACAGTTTTCCTCACTCAGATTTGACAAAATTCATACAACGTTCAGACGCCATAAAGTGAGATTGATAAAATTCACTGAAGCCCACAAAAAAGCAGTCAATCGTAAATGGGTCCAACTGGAAAAGAAAAACCATGTGGGCAAAATAAATCACAAGAGATGCAACTCGTCCGTGGGTGATTCGTATGCAAATAATGTTCCCATTTTAGAAATTGCAGGATAGTATGTTAGAGTATGCAATTGAGGAGCTTGCCTCATGGATGTTAAAGACCACATTGTGCTTTTCAGTTTTGAACAATTTGGTGCAATTTATATTTCTGGGGTAGAGTAGGCATTTGCAATAGAAGCAAAGAAGGTCCTTCTTAATTAGAAAAAGGAAGGAGTTTGATGAGCTGAATGGCCTTTCACATTCTAAAACTTCTCATGTTTGCAGCATTTACGTGAGTGTTTTGAAAACGAGTTTGCCTTTAAGCGACCGAGTGCAGGTCATGTCCAAGGATTAAATTCACAACCTTCTACTGTTGTCAGCTAGCGCATGACGCAGATCTCAATTTAGATTTTTGAAGCAACGGACTGTAAATAGAAAATAATTTTACCGTTACAAAAACCTAAAATTAGGAGTGCACCACAAACATGACCTTTGTCTAAATTTCATTTGCAAGCGTGTACACACACAACTTGGAGCTCATTCACACGATGAATTATGAGCTCCTATTAGCTGTTTGAGGAACTATGATAAAGGTATACGAATGTCATTTTAATTAGAGCATTAAATCGCATCTCCCAATAATTTGGCAGCAGCACCAGCACGTAACGTTTCGTACCGACAGCTGTTAAAATAACGAGAGAATGCAAGCCGGTGGTTGCATAATGGCGAGTGCAACAACGCAAGCTGGCAAAATCTGACGCATTGGTGGCAGTTGTGTTAAATCGCAAGCATTATTGTTCTGTTATATTACTACAGTTACTGTTACTGTATCATACAATCCACGGCATGGTGAGTCTCTCGTGAACGTGCCTTCCCCGTTGACTGGCACACGCGGAATACAAAACGAATATATTAGCGGTGAATCCAAATCACGACACAGCACTGTAACTAAAGGGACGTTGGGTGGTATTATTCTGGACCCCACCGCCCCCCCCAATTCCTCCCGTGGGAGAACGGGGTGCCCGGCCCCCCCCCCAAAGTGTCCCCTTCCTGAGTCAAAGCCCACCCTGTTGGGTCCCCACAGGGTATGTCATCTTTACTGTACGTCTAAATACTATTGTGTACGGTTTACAGAGATACATATTTTGAGGGAATTAGAACATTACCAAAGCATGAAGGTCAAGCGGCCATTATGACCAACCAATTCCATTAATGCCAGACACTGCGATCGCTTCCTTCCTTCTGCTCGATCTTGCAGCTGTTGGAAAGTTGACACCCGACCTCTGCTCCTCTTACAGTATCATACCATCTGGTTTGAGGTCTTCCCCTCAGTCAGTCACCGACCTCTAAGTGCCCCTCCAGTGCCTGTCTCTGTAACCTGCCCTCCTCCATTCTTAAGACCCATGTCCAGTCACTACAATGTCTTATTCCTGATTTCACTTATTGCAATGCTTTTCTTGCCACGTTCAATTCCGTGTGCATTCTTTATGCAAACTAAGGGCGGGGGGGGGAAGCAGTGGTCCATAGGGTTAGTGCAATGCAGTATCGCTTAAAATCTTATTCAATTAGGGTTCGACTCCTGACTACGTGAAACATCAGTGGCGAGCTATGTCCGATTCAGTCCTGAGCGACCACTTCACAAATCCGCAATGCCCAAAAACTCCAATTACAGACATTGAGGCCGTCTTCATCCACAAGTGGACTTACAAAGGTCTGCATATTCCAATTGAGTAAGCACCGTTATATGTTCATATGCAATTGCTTTCATGCAAAGGAAATGTATTGAATATAGAGTTATAGACATACAGACAAGAAAATGTATATGGCTTCGTATGGCAAACACGTTATTTGAATTGGCCCAATATCCACACCGTAATGTGACAAGAAAAAAAGTTTCCTGGATACATTTGCAATCGCAAATTGCATTATAAGCACATGAGCATGCTCAACACATAACACGTGAGTATGCATGTACAACAGCCGCGCCCCTTTTATTTCTGAAGATAGCTGTTGTCAAAGACCGCTTATTGCGGGCAGCCCAGCATAACCCAGGGTTATTTTACGGCCATTATGATGATGATGTCGCGACACCGGAAAACGAGCAAGTTCTCCTCCCCTGCCCATTTAATCATAATCCAGTCAGGATGGTTGGCTTCCCCGATCCACAATCTGCAACGGGGGGGGTGGTCGCGATGTCATCATCCAGCAGTGGATTGACTAAAAGGGCTGCGGCGACGTGCACATTTGGGGAGAGTCCCAGCACACGCGGTGATGCCGATGCAAATTTAGTGCCGAGTAAACCAAGGGGGAGACGCATTGTAAAAATGTTAATTCGGTGAGATAAACAAGACACCAAATGGCCGGTCTAGTCCTGGCCGGGGATAGAACTCTGGGGTAGCCCCGGGGTTTCTGGAAGTCGCAGTGCGCTAACCACAGCCGCTAACCTCCTCTTACACAGACACACACCACGTGAGAATCCATTTACACATTTACGTATAATTGCATACACCCATAACGGATGGAGTAGGGTGGGTGGGGGGTTAAAAGGTTTAGTTGTTTTAAAGTCACAGATAAACGTTGAGTAGTAGTAGCAGTAATAATATTAATAATGCGGTCGGTGTTGGGGGGGCCGCCTTGAGGCGCAGAGGCGGGACGTGACCTGAATGATTGCCGCCTCGGTAGGGGCCTAAACCCACGGGCCTCCTCCCTCATCCTTCTCACCATTAATCCCCTCTTATTTTCAAAATTTACAAACACCGCTTGCTGCATCGTCGTCGTCGCCTACAACCACCACCATCAAACCACCACAAACGTAACTCGCATCGTGGGCGATAACTAATTAACTCGCCGGGTTGTTTTTTTTTAATATAACCAGATATGTGTGGTTTTTTTACCCCCTTATTTCAAACGTGAACGTTAAGCAAAGCCAACCGCGCGGCTAAATCTCGGCGGGTTTGGGGTTTGGCAGAGCGGTAGGTGGTGGTAGGGAACATTCTCCCGAGGAGCACAAATCCAGCCGCACTTCTCTCGCTCGCTCTCACCACCTTTCTTACCTTAAAACAACACCCCCCCCCCCCCCAAAAACCAGCGATTAACATTGACGCTACACAATAAACGTGAAACGTTTTAAAAAAAATTATAATAGAACTGCGCGGACAACCGGAACACGTTGGCCGTAAGTCTCTCGGCCCCCCGGCTTGGTTTAACGCCGGCGATGCTGACAACGATGACGATGACAACGATGCTAACGACGACGACGATGATAAAGATGACAATGAAGGGGGTCTCTTTCTCTCGCCGAGCTGAATGGTGGGTGGACTTGAAGGGGACGACGAGTTACCTGCCCACTGGAGGCCGCCCGCCGGGTTTTCGCGTCGCCGAGAATTTGATGCTGGACATGATGGCTGCTGCTGTTGCTTCTTCTTCTTCTTATTTGACGACGACGATGATGATGTTGTTGACGCTGTTTGACGACGACAACGAGGAAGAATTGTTTTTCCCTGCTTCGAGAGAGAAGCGAGGAGCGCCCGCCCGGCCGCTCGCTTCACTCACAGCGCCCGGGCACCGTGCACCTCATCGCGCGCGTCCTCTTCCACGTTATCGTTCACTATTTACGCTACCCGCCTTACTAAAATATTACGCCTGATATTTTAACGCTTACAAATCGCCGAGTTTATTATTCGTCAATTTTTTTTCCTCTCGTATATCCAAGGCGCCCGATATCGATTTCTCGTCTTATTAGCCGCGCAAAGAGAAAAAAAAAATTGTGAAATTTCGCTATCTTCAGTGATACAGACGGCCGTTTTTGCTTGGATCAATTTTTGTTTTCCCCTTTACGATTCAACGGCCCTTGCCCTCCAAACCTCGTTTATTTTTTTTTTAAAGGCAAAGTCGACCTCGCTAATTGTTTTAACGGCGACGTTGGCGACGTTTATTTGTTTAATGTTAATGACGCTTTATTGTTGACGATGAGGAGGTGTTTGGCGCCGCGGAGGGGCACACCGGGCGAAACAAAACATCGCCGCCGGCCGCGCGCCTGCGCACTGCGGCCCACCGCATCACTGCCCCCAGCCCGGGCCAGCCGCGCGTCTCTCGGCGACGCAAGAAAGTAGTTCCTCTCCACCCCCCCTACCCACCACCAAAATCCCCGCCCCTATCCCCCCAGACCCCGCCCCTATCCCCCCAGACCCCGCCCCTATCTCCACTGACCCCTCCCCTTCCCTGGATGACGCAACTGCGCGCGCCTATGGAACGTGATGGCATGGGGGGAGATTTATACGAAGCGGAGTAGAATGTTTTTTTTTCATTTAAATTAATATTTACGTATGGGTGTTTTTCTTTAAAATATGCATATTTTGCATTGCGTATGTTGTTTTTAATAGTTTATTGACGCCGACATTTCGTTTGAATTTTATGGTTATTGAAATATAATTTGTACCAACACCGATTCGCGAAATGGTCTTGCCCAGGCGCGTCGCTGCGAAATATCCTGGAGGGGGGGGGGGGGAGAAACGTCATGCGTCACACGTGCGTGGGTGACGTCACGGCGTTGCGCGTGACGGCATCACGCAAGCGCCGTCATCCGATGGCACACCCACGTGTATTTAAGTACACGTACTGTACTGTGTATATGGCTTTGTTTCTGCATATACTTCTATGTAATTATGCATTTGTCATATTTGCACTCTTAACAATACTATTGCTTGGGGAGGCCTTCATCCAGCAGTGAATTAATTAAATCAATGGCCGAGTATTCATTACACAAGTTAACGGGTGTATACAGAAATTAAATGAGAATACACCAGGAATTACGGATGTGTGCGGTAATTTTATTCAGCAGGGGATTGACAGCCGAAAATTATCTTGTCATTCAGCAAACCCTGACTGCATCTCAAAAATATTTCGCACCAAGGTCCTGCATTTGTGACGTTTGGCCCAATCCCGTTAATGAGCATTTTGCACCGTAATATTACATCAACGTGTCTGGCAATGTGCGGCGTTAACTGCGTGGTTCACAGATAAAGAGAGCAAATCTGCAATTTAACACCGTCGCCCCCTGCAGAGCAGACAGCACACGGCAACACGCAGCTGCCATTCCCTAAACGTTACATAACTGGACCCGCGTGGAGCCGTTCCATTGCTCTCGGCAGCACCTCCAGAATTCATGACACCATTTGGTGCACTGAAGATGCAGACGTCAAATTGGTTATAAAGACAACCCCTCTAATGTCTTATGGTATCGACACCGATGCACAAGAGAGGGTATTTTGATTTGTTTTAAATACTCCCCAGGAAAACGTACTTCCAGATTGTATGACCGTGTTTCAGATAGACGACATTCAATCTAACTGCTCGATGACCTTAATCACGCTGCTCAATGTGAGTTGGCGAAGAGGGGAGCCCACGGCCGGTTCAGGGGCGCCACGGTGGCGAGATGTTAACTGCCCCGCCAGGAGGTCGAGGCATCGCTGCTGACCCCGACGCCTGTCTATTTGTTGGAGTTTGCGTGTTCTTCCCGTGGTCGCGTGGATTTTTCTCCGGGTCCTCCGGTTTTTCCCTCCGCATTTAGAAAAAAATGCGTTTAGACTACTGTATTTGTCCGCAATACATTTCCACGTGATATGCCACTTCAGTAGGCTATCATTTGTGACCAGGTCGTTTCTGCAAAAGGGCTCTATAGCTCAGTGGGCCTTACCTGGTGAAATAAAAATAGTAATAAATGTGGCCAGGCCCGGGAATCAAATTCAGTTCACGAGGTTCACAGTGCAGTGTGGGAACCACTGCACCACTGCTCCACAGTAGGATGAAATAATTATTTATTTTCACGACGGATACAAACTGTCTTCTGGTTGTCTGCCAGATTACGTCTAACGATGGTGCAGTGGTAAAGTAATCTTGAGAATGTTTAATAATGTATTCTAAAAGGGAAAATGGGCAGTGGTGGTGTGGGGTGTGCAAAATAAATGCCCCGAAAGGCACTGGGTGGGAATCTCTCACAGATAATTTGTGACATTTCAATTTCGCAGCATTTCACCAGGTTTTTAAGAGTGGATCATAACTTCCAAGGCCTTTACCAACGAGGGAGACACACGAACTCTTCACCTCTCGCCTAACTCATCGCTTAGCCCCTGAGTAATGCCCACTCCCATTCAAACCTGACATATCAGTGGCTCAGAAAGAAGGCCCTGCGTCGTTAATTGTTTTCTCCCCTTGATCCCAGGGCTTAATTTCGCAATGAATACATTCCGGGTTATTTGTAAACCGGGAGTTTGGCACGTGACTCGTATCCACAGCCGTAGTCAGTGATATGTATACTGGATGCGGTGTTCCGGGTGATTATATATTTCCCGGGTCACTTGCTCAGAAAGACCTGGCTGAAATGAAGACTGACATAGCCTTACCATTACTGTTAAGTACCAGAGTGCAAGTATATTTTTTAGTAAGTATGGTTTGATGAAAACAAACAAAAGTAAATTTTGATTTAAAGCTTTCGTGACAGCAGTAATTCATATTCTTAGCTCTTTCGGTAAAGTCACGTTTGTTGGAAACAATAAAATAATAAAAATATATATAAAACAATACAAATTTTCACGACGTTTCGACCATAACACAAACGGTCGTCATCAGGTGTGAAAACCAACGGCAAGAAACATTTGAAAGAAGTGGCGGTTTGCATTTATTTATTTTTACACGGTGTTTGTGTTTATTTATTTTTTTAAAAACCGTTAGCACCACGGGAAGCGATTTGGCAGTTTGTTTAGAAGGACGAGTCCATCTATGTTCTGAAAAGAGGAGGGGGGAGACGAAAAATTAATTCATGCTGTCTGAAAGCCACCGTAAGCGTGAACAATCAATTAAGACCTGAAATGGTTTATCAAATCCTTCCAATGAAGGATTTGATAAACCAGAATCCATCTTCTCGTTTGAAATTGTCTCTGTGCTTGTATATGTGGATAGCCTCATGAACGAATCTCTCATTGTAACCAGATGGCTTACAAAGAACCTCTGTCTTGGAGAAGTCAATGTCATGTGAGCCTACTGAATTATAACCATGATCTGCCACGGCCGAGGTGTTGGTCCTACCGTGTTTAAGGTCTGCTTTGTGTTCACGAATGCGGTCCGAGACATGCTTGAACTCAAGCACGTACACCAAGCTCTTAGGCTAATGGTTACTCCGACTATACAATCCGCAAAGTTATCACTCAAACCATGAAGAAGGACCCTCTTGAGGAGCCTTTGAAAACCATCACTTTACCCTACATTGCGGGGATCACAAAGAAGATCTCCAAAATCTTGAATAAACACAAGATCCAGGTCCGTTTCAACACATTACATAAAATCTGTGATCTGGTTCTGTCTGTAAAAGATGTGATTCCGGACATTCAGTACCCTGGTGTCTACAAACTAAGTTGCCTCTGTGGTAGTAGTTACATTGGAGAAACCAAACGACATGTCTTGGACCGCATTCGTGAACACAAAGCCGACCTTAAACACGGTAGGACCAACACCTCGGCCGTGGCAGATCACTGTTATAATTCAGTAGGCTCACATGACATTGACTTCTCCAAGACAGAGGTTCTTTGTAAGCCATCTGGCTACCATGAGAGATTCGTTCATGAGGCTATCCACATATACAAGCACAGAGACAATTTCAACCGAGAAGATGTATTCTGGCTTAGCATAATTGGAAGGATTTTATAAACCATTTCGGGTCTTAATTAATTGTTCACGCTTACGGTAGCTTTCAGACAGCATACATTATTTTTTTGTCTCCCCCCTCCTCTTTTCAGAACATAGATGGACTCGTCCTTCTAAGCAAACTGCCAAATCGCTGCCCGTGGCGCTAACGTTTAAAATAAATAAATAAATAGACACATACACCATGTAAAAATAAATAAATGCAAACCGCCACTTCTTTCTAATGTTTCTTGCCGTTGGTTTTCACACCTGATGATGACCGTTTGTGTTATGGTCGAAACGTCGTGAGAATTTTTATTGTTTCATATATATTTTATTATTTTTTTGTTTCCCTTCAACGTGACTTTACCAAAAGAGCTAAGAAAACAAAAGTAAATTGATAGGATGGAAACAAATGTATAGATCGTTCCTAAATACATATCCTTCTCAAACCCATAATAAAGTACACTTATTAAAATAAACAATAAACCATTTGTCAATCCACTGCTGGATGAAGACATCCCCACAGCATGAAGGGGTTGCTAGACGATACTTCATTACGCTGATCACAACAGGTTTGTGATGGAAAACAGCGCCCACGACCAACTTATAATTTCACCCGCCACTTATATTAACCGAGCACGGCAATTGAACTCCGGTCGCTAGGTTCATATTGCGATGCGCAAGGCACTATACCACCTCTTCGTCCAGTTGCATTCAACCCATGTATATCCAGATGAAGGAATCGTACAGAATTTCAACTAGTGCAGAGATAAGGAATTTCAATTAACTGTTTCACTCGGTTACACAAAGTTCATCTGTCAATCAAACCTGCTTTGTATTCCATTGCAGTGACTGCACGTTGATGCAGGTTGGCCAAGAATTCGGATTGACAGTATTTATCTAATCCATCAATGTCAGTCATTTAATAAAGAGGTATGTACCCCAATGTGCAGCAAAGGTCCCCAAGAGCCTGCTTGCGGAGCACAGGATAGATGAAATACAATTTAGCGAGGCTCGGTAAGTGATTATATACATGGGCAGGGTAGGTGGGTTGGTAGGCGGGAATTTTTGTTAAGTAACTAGGTTGGTAGAAGGTTCGGTAAGTAGGTATAATAAGTGGGTAGGTAGGTGGGTGGGAAGATACGTAGTTGGTTTGGTGGATATATGTTTAGTGGGTTCTAATCAGGCGCACACCAAGATTGGGAGGCAACACGTTTTATTCTCTAACACAACTAACACTATTCAAAAGTTCCAAGGTTAACTATGTACATTCCCAGCGACTATGTACATTACAGGTTAACTACGTAAGGTGGTGGCCACCGTTCCTAACCACTTAACCACTTTAACGGATTCCCTATATGGTTGAACCAGAACAGCCGACACGCCGTCGTGTCGTCGCGTACTGAAGAGCGAAGA